CCGTGCCAGACTGGGTGATGATCACCCTGATACCCTCGGCAGCATCAACGACCTGGCAGTACTGCTCGAGGCCAGAGGGCGACTGGAGGAGGCGGAGCCCTTATTGCGCGAGGCTTTGCGCGGATGCCGTGCCCAACTTGGTGATAATCACCCTGACACCCTCAGCAGCATCAACAACCTGGCAGTACTGCTCAAGGCCAGAGGGCGACTGGAGGAGGCCGAGCCCTTGTACCACGAGGCTTTGCACGGCTTCCGTGCCAGACTGGGTGATGATCACCCTGACACCCTCAGCACCATCAACAACCTCGCAGGGCTGCTCAAGGCCAGAGGGCGACTGGAGGAGGCCGAGCCCTTGTACCACGAGGCTTTGCGTGGCCGCCGTGCCCAACTTGGTGATAATCACCCTGACACCCTCAGCAGCATCAACAACCTGGCAGTACTGCTCAAGGCCAGAGGGCGGCTGAAGGAGGCGGAACCTTTGTTCCGTGATGCTTGGCACATATGGCGTGCCAAGCTTGGTGATGAACACCCGAGCACCCTCAGCAGCATTAACAACCTCGCAGAGCTTCTCAAGGCCAGAGGGAGACTGGAGGAGGCGGAGCCCTTGTACCACGAGGCTTTGCGTGGCCGCCGTGCCCAACTTGGTGATAATCACCCTGACACCCTCGGCAGCATCAACAACCTCGCAGGGCTGCTAAAGGCCAGGGGGCGACTGGAGGAGGCCGAGCCCTTGTACCACGAGGCTTTGCACGGCCTCCGTGCCAGACTGGGTGATGATCACCCTGACACCCTCGGCATCATCAACAACCTCGCAGGGCTGCTCAGGGCCAGAGGGCGACTGGAGGAGGCCGAGCCCTTGTACCACGAGGCTTTGCACGGCCTCCGTGCCAGACTGGGTGATGATCACCCTGACACCCTCAGCACCGTCAACAACCTCGCAGGGCTGCTCAAGGCCAGAAGGCGACTGGAGGAGGCCGAGCCCTTGTACCACGAGGCTTTGCGTGGCCGCCGTGCCCAACTTGGTGATAATCACCCTGACACCCTCGGCAGCATCAACAACCTGGCAGTACTGCTCGAGGCCAGAGGGCGACTGGAGGAGGCCGAGCCCTTGTACCACGAGGCTTTGCACGGCTTCCGTGCTAGACTGGGTACTGATCACCCCACCCTCATCAGCATCATCAACAACCTCGCAGGGCTGCTCAGGGCCAGAGGGCGACTGGAGGAGGCCGAGCCCTTGTACCACGAGGCCTTGCACGGCCTCCGTGCCAGACTGGGTGATGATCACCCTGACACCCTCAGCACCATCAACAACCTCGCAGGGCTGCTCAAGGCCAGAAGGCGACTGGAGGAGGCCGAGCCCTTGTACCACGAGGCTTTGCGTGGCCGCCGTGCCCAACTTGGTGATAATCACCCTGACACCCTCGGCAGCATCAACAACCTGGCAGTACTGCTCGAGGCCAGAGGGCGACTGGAGGAGGCCGAGCCCTTGTACCACGAGGCTTTGCACGGCCTCCGTGCCAGACTGGGTGATGATCACCCTGACACCCTCAGCACCATCAACAACCTCGCAGGGCTGCTCAAGGCCAGAGGGCGACTGGAGGAGGCCGAGCCCTTGTACCACGAGGCTTTGCGTGGCCGCCGTGCCCAACTTGGTGATAATCACCCTGACACCCTCAGCAGCATCAACAACCTGGCAGTACTGCTCGAGGCCAGAGGGCGACTGGAGGAGGCCGAGCCCTTGTACCACGAGGCTTTGCACGGCTTCCGTGCCAGACTGGGTGATGATCACCCTGACACCCTCAGCACCATCAACAACCTCGCAGGGCTGCTCAAGGCCAGAGGGCGACTGGAGGAGGCCGAGCCCTTGTACCACGAGGCTTTGCGTGGCCGCCGTGCCCAACTTGGTGATAATCACCCTGACACCCTCAGCAGCATCAACAACCTGGCAGTACTGAGCGAGGCCAGAGGGCGACTGGAGGAGGCCGAGCCCTTGTACCACGAGGCTTTGCGCGGCTTCCGTGCCAGACTGGGTACTGATCACCCCACCACCCTCATCAGCATCAACAACCTGGCGGTACTGCTCAAGGCCAGAGGGCGACCGGCGGAGGCGGAGCCCTTATTGCGCGAGGGTTTGCGCGGATGCCGTGTCAGACTTGGTGATGATCACCCGAGCACCCTCGCCTTTATCTACAACTTGGCCAACTTGCTGAAGCAGATGCGTCAGTGGCAGGAGGCAGAGCAGCTCTTTCGCGAGCATCTGGAAGGTTGTCGCGTGAGACATGGGGCCAAGCATGACAACACCTCGAGCTCTTTTCGCAGCTTTGCTAACTTTCTGCAAGAGCGGGGCAGAACCGCCATGCTCCGGCAGTTGCTGGAAGAGTTTGGAGTCTCCACGAGTGGGGTGGTAGACGCTACTACCGAGACTGCAACCTCTTCACAGCTCTAGCTGTATAGGGCGTTGGCAGCTCCATAATCCATTGAACGCACTGCTGCCGTGGGTGTGTGTTTTTGAGCGGAACGAAAATTAGAGAATATGGTGCCATGTTATCAGATGTCTTGTTTCATGGAAACGATTGTTTTTTGACCCCAACCCACCCTCAGAAGTAGGCGTGGAGAGGACTTGGGAGTGTGTATTTTCAGTTTCTGATCCCAAAGTAGGCAGTTTCTGCTTGGATGTGAGTCCCTGCCAGGAACGGCTAGTTGAAGCATCGTCTTTTGCTTGTGGCTCCCTCAACCCTAAACCCTAAACCCTCAACCCCAAACCACATGCGGGTTGCTCACGCACAGATCACCCTGGAGCTCTCCTTGCAATCTGCACCTCAAGCTGTTTTTCTTTTTTGCCTGATCTTCGGCCCCTTACTCCACTGCCCAAAATAGACCCCCTAATAGTAGGATTCCCTTGTATTAAGGACCCCAAGAAGGTACCCCCAAGTTTCGGAAACCCCCATGTGACAAGAGTGTGTTACATTTGCGCTCAGGTTGGGCAGCATTGTTCGCTTCACCGGCCTTCAGACTTCCAAGGCGCAAAGTCTTTTTGCTGCCGATTTCCGCGGCTCCTTCTGTGATCCCTGGCTTCGGGCACCCTTTTTGGGGTTCCCTTTAAGGGGTTCTATTCTGTTTGGGGTATAAAAGGGGTACCCATTTTGGGAACAGCCTTATCACCGCTGTGTAGTTCCTGGATGCAATGTTCCTGGCAGGGTGGTTGTGTGTCCGTGCTGGTCCGTGCATCCAACCAAATGCTGCTGGATGAGACCGAGAGGCCAGTGATTCAAAGTGACCAAGAATCTCTTGATCATGCATCAACTCAAGTCGGACCCCAGCTTCACCCAAGTGCTGCGCAGATCGATTCACGATGCGCTCTGCGTAGTGCGCAGTCTCGTGAAAAAGAAGGCCGGGAATTGGACTCATTTGCCTGACATGCCTTTAGCCTTTGCTCTGTTCCTGGCCCCTGTGCGCAGGCGCTGATCGCAGGGGGAGCCGCGCCGGAGATGGAGGTGGCACAGAAGCTTGAAGCTTGGGCCAGGCCCCTGCGTCGCGCATTTCCAATGCCGCCTTGTCCAGCTTGTTCTTGGCCCTTGAGGCCTTTGCTGGTAGAATGCACTTCATGTGAGCTTGCATGCAATCGGAAGGACTGTGGGCGGCATCACGCAGGTATGCATCGAGCACTATGCGGAGGCATTAGAGCTGGCCACTGGGCCACAATCAAGCTCGGCACAGCCATGATGTGATCACCCAACGGCTTTGTGGACATTCGCATGTGTTATCCACTTCAATGGCACGCGGATAATGCCGGATACATACATATATATATATGTATATATAGATATGAATGTATATCACTATGCAATCGACTCAGGGGTCAAATCCTTGAAGGCATGATTGATCTGGGTCCCAGAGCCTTGTAACAGAGTCGTTTACATTGCGAGGGAGATTTGGATGCCGCACGCAAACAGACCTGTAGCAGCACTTCTCCAGAAGAACTGCAAGCCCGAAAGGTTCCCTACACGCTTGCAGAGAATGCGGGGATGCAGCCGGTGGAGATCGTCACGCAGCTTAGAGCCGCGCACGCCAACGGTGAGAAATTTGCCGGGATCAACGTGAAGACTCTTGGAAATGAAGGTCGTGAGTTGTCTTCACTGACTGCGTGAATCAGTAGCACACCACTAGGAAGGCTTAAGATCCGTACTCGCACACCAGGTTGTGGCATTGCGGCTGTCTTTGCACACTTTGGATGTTGGTCAGGAAAAGCTGCATCAGCAATATGTTCAAAGAGAACGTGGTGCAGCCATTGCTGGTGTCGACAAGTGCTTTAAACATGGCCACAGAGACCGTTCCTAAGCAGAATGTTGGATGCCATTGGATGCTGATGATTGCCTGACTGCTTGCAAGCCATGAAAAATGCACTGCTTTCTCAGTCTCCGCGGGTGTTCCTCCCGTCTGACCGACGTTGTTCAGGTGCGTATGATCCTGAAGATCGACGACATCGTCCTCACTCGCTGATATGGGTCAGACATATGTTCAGACGAATTGACTGAGGATATGGCAAGTTACTGAATAGTTATACGAGCAGACATGCAAACATCTGGGAACAGGCGCGCTCACAGTATGAAAACACAACATCGCTCGCTGCTGGCATGTAATCTTGCAAGCTGAGTAATACTTCAGCATATTGCACCTGGTCATTGCCTACAAAACGGGGCATCGACGCTGCGAGAAAAGAGGACCGGGCGAGCAAGGCATTTTGGGTCTCCGATTAGGGTTCGTGGGAACGTACGGAATCGGGTGATTTGCCTTGGCTGGTTGCAATAGTTCTTTCCTTGAATGGTTGAGGCATCAAAGTATCAAGCGCTGCCCAACGTGTGTTTCCATTTCACACGGCCGATGGTCTTGAAGCTTCCCGTTTCTGAAGGCCTTCTGAGTTCCCAGTCCTTTAGTTGGGCCTAAACCCTAAACCCTTGTGTTGCGAACATTTCGAACGCGATTCGGGGGAGCTTTTCGAGGTCCTCGCCTCCTACAAGCCTGGGGACGATGTAAAGCTGGGACTCGATGCTGCGCAGCTCCGCTCCGAGGCAGCAGGGTATTTTGTAGAAGGGGTTTAGGGTTTAGGGTTTAGGGTTTAGGGTTTAGGGGGGGGGGATTCCTACATATCAGGGTCCCCTTGCTTGCTTGGCAGTAGGGCTCCCCTTGCTTGGGGTATTCGTATATAGTACGGGCTCGCTTATATTCTCATCGAGGAAGAGGCCATCAGTGAGAGTTGGTTCAGGCTTCAGCAAGTTCAGAGCTTCCATGACGTCCCCTGACCAAAGGTAGCTGGGGGCTGCTCTGTTGGTCCCCCCCTCTCTTCATCTCTGATGGTCCGAAGTCTTTGGAGCGCGTCCTTGGGGAGGTCTCATGTGGTGTCTTTGTGGTTCTGTTCTCCTGTGAAACATCGAATGGATGCTCAGGCACCACGGCTCATCTATGACGCTTGGCATTACCCAGGTGTAGCGCCGAAGTTAGACTTTTTTAAAGCCCCATGTGCGAAAATCCAAGTCGCGCCTTGTAAATCCCCTCAGTGATTCCAACAGGCCCAGATCACTGGGTACGGCCTTGATGATCCACGTACCGGCTACGACGCTGTGATCCAGGCCCTGTGTCTGTGTCTAACGAGCATGGAGGCATGAAGCTCCGCTGATCTGTAGATGTGATGTCCAGGCAGAGTCGGGCTTCACCTTCATGAACGGCGCACCTGCTCACCAGGTAACACGGCAACAGCAACAGAAATAGGGCTCTTGTTTTTGATGGACCGAGTCCCAGAGAGGTGGGTCCACAGGGCATGGGGTGTTGTAGAATGGTATGGCCATATGTGCAAACGCACCAAAAGCGTATGATACCTTATGACTTAAAGGCAAACCCACGACGGGCGCGACCGCGCTCGAGTCCACTGCAGCAGTTTTTCTTGGAATCTAGCACCATCTAGCACCGAGCCACCCTGAGCGTGCTGAGGGCGGAGGCCCAACGAAGATGCCCGTGGCCCTCGTGGACTTGCTTGCAGCGCATCAGCTCAAGGAGGCGGCGATCCGTTCATTCTTACATCTTGTGACTTCGGAGACTTCGGAGTTTGCAGGAAATATGTGCCTCAAGGTTTTTCAACCCTTTCACGCATCTCGTTTCTTCAGGTGGTTTTTTTCTCAGCGCCTCATCAGTTCATGGGTTTGGTGGGTCCAGTCTATGCGAGTTGCAGCCGTGCAACGCCGCGCGTGTTCACAAGCGGCTCGGCGGTCAACTGCACGTCAGGCAATCCTCCTAGCCTTGTTCAACCGAGAGCGCTTCGGAGAAGGCTCCTTTTCTCAATGTCTGCGTCTGATTCCTGCGCAATCCTGCGTGCATGTGATGGCATGTGATGGCATGGGGCGGCAGCAAGGCATAGCAAGGTGCTTCAACTGAAGTTCACTGGTGTGCTCCGGTGACTGTGATGTCAGCTTGTCCTCCCATACTGCATACCCTCGCATGCTTTTCCTAGGTGCGCACGTGCACGTGTCCCTCATGGCAGCAGCGGTCGCGTCTCTAGCCAACCAGGCTGTGGACTTGCTCAGCTGTTCTCCCAGTCCTAAACCCTAAACCCTATAAACCCTATAAACCCTAAAACCCTAACACCCTAGAACCCCAAAACCCTGAAAGTCACCCGGACCTTTTCGAAGGCCACAGGCTACCTGATCGCTGGAGAGGTGCCGCAAAGGATGGGTTCGGAGCTTTGGCTTGGCCCAGTCGGTTTGCAGAGGGTTTAGGGTTTAGGGTTTAGGGTTTAGGGTTTAGGGTTTAGGGCTTATGCTCCCACATCTTGCCTGACCTGCCCCGCGTGGTCAGAACTCAGGACCATCCATCAATCTGCCCCTATGGCACGGCATTCTACGACAAGGAAAATGTCATGAGCTCTGGATAAGACGCTGTGTAGTTCCTTGGAGAATCCTGGTAGCCATCCTCTGGAAGGACGGTGAAGCGCTGATCCTGGCAGTCTTCAGCTCAGCAGACCGACATTCAACGCCGGCAGGGGCCGGATGTTGCACGTCCTACTGAGGTTGGAACCGATACCCAATTCGCAGCGTTGTGCGAGGCCAACCCCGGCTGAGTTTGTATGTTACACTTTTCAACCTGCAAGCAGCAACAGCCAACATAATGAGAATTAGATCCAACTGCAAGCGCTTGCACGCGCCGCCTCGGCAGCCGGGCCGGCCCACGTCCCCAGGAAATTCCAAAAACCTTTCAAAGCAGGTCCCAACCAAATCCCAAAAAACCCAAAATGCTTGAGGCTTTGCAGGTCGCGGGAGGGCAAGGTGGGTCCAGGAAGGGTTTCAGGGTTAGGGCTTTCAGGGGGGGGGGATTCCACAGCGGTCTCAGACAGATTCCAGGGAAGGCCCAGAAAAAAAGGGGTGGGGGGTGTGCAGTTTTTGGGCGGCTCTGTGGGATAGCTGAAGGCCCAGAGGGGTCCGGAAGGGGAAGGAGACCAAATCTTGGTCTGCTGGTTCTGGGCGCCTCTCGGCCGGCGGCCGGGGCGAATTAGCGATGATGCCGCCTTTCCCTGTGATGCCAGGTGTTGCAGTGCTCGGATCTTGCCGCGGATCCGCGCTACATCCGAAACCCAGATCGGGTGATGAATCGGCAGGCCCTACGGGGCCCTATGCCCCGCTGTCCTGGGTCTGGGTACGAAGGAAATTACCCTAAACCCTAAACCCTAAACCCTAAACCCTAAACCCTAAACCCTAAACCCTAAACCCTAAACCCTAAACCCGAAACCCGAAACCCGAACCCTAAACCCTAAACCCTAAACCCTAAACCCTAAACCCTAAACCCTAAACCCTAAACCCTAAACCCTAAACCCTAAACCCTAAACCCTAAACCCTAAACCCTAAACCCTAAACCCTAAACCCTTAGAAAGAAGGCATTGGCCAATGCTTCGACCCCGAGCGATCGTTTCCCCCCATATTTCCACACTCCTGACACCCCAAGGCCACAGCTTCTTCCGGGATGTCTGGAAGTTCAGGGCTCAGGGTTCAGGGTTTAGGGTTTAGGGTTTGGGGTTTGGGGTTTAGGGTTCAGCATCTCAAGTCCGAGCATTCCCTAGTCGAGCAGCTTGTCAAGCATTGGAAAAAAATCCCACCCACCCAAGAAACCCATAACATTGAGAAAATATAAAATTCACTCAATACTTTTCCGGTAGGCTTAAAGCTCAAAGTCTAATTGGTCCAAAATATTTTAGTTTCTAACGGACCCAAAACCCGAAATCTAATCTAAGGCCCACAACAAGCCCTTTAGTTTTGGTCGAAACTCCAGAAAACGAGAGGCCACCCAGAACCGTCGATTTCAGTACTGAAAAATCGCATTTTTAACTGGGACCCGGGCAGATCCTGGGGTCCCCCTCATTCAGGGTGTTTTTGGAGGCAAACTTTTCCCTCTCAAGGGGGGGTCGGAGTTTGAGGCAAAGGGGGGTCTCCGAAGATCATTTTGCCTTTAAAATTGGAAAATACGACCCCCCCTTGACCAAAACTAGGCTGTGAAAACGTCGCGAGGGCGGCCCTTCATCAGAATTGAGGGTTTAGAACCCTAAAACACCCTGAAAAAATACTGAAAAACTCTGCAAAAACCAAAAATTAGCCCTAAACCCTATGCCCCAAACCCTACGAGCCCTAAACCCTATGCCCCAAATGCCAACCGGGTGGAAAAAAACCATTTGCCCACGAAGGGGGTCAGGGTTTAGGGGCCCCCCGGTGGGAAAAAAACCATTTGCCCATGAAGGGGGTCAGGGTTTAGGGCCCCATCGGGGGGAAAAAAGCCGTTTGGTCACGAAGGGGGTCCCCCCCCGGGGGAAAAAACCATTTGCCCACGAAGGGGGTCAGGGTTTAGGGCCCCCCCGGGTGGAAAAAAAAACCATTTGCCCACGAAGGGGGTCAGGGTTTAGGGCCCCCCCGGGAGGAAAAAACCATTTGCCCACGAAGGGTCCCGGGGGGAAAAAAACCGTTTGGTCACGAAGGGGGTCAGGGTTTAGGGCCCCCCCGTGGGGAAAAAAACCGTTTGGTCACGAAGGGGGTCAGGGTTTAGGGCCTTCCCGGGGGGAAAAAAACCGTTTGGTCACGAAGGGGGTCAGGGTTTAGGGCCCCCCCCGGGGGGAAAAAAACCGTTTGGTCACGAAGGGGGTCAGGGTTTAGGGCCCAGCTCGGTTTTGGTCAAAAACCCAGAAAACAAGAGGCCACCCAGAACCGTCGATTTCAATACTAAAAAATCGCATTTTGAATTGGGACCCGGGCCGATCCTGGGGTTCCCCTCATTTGGGGTGTTTTGGAGAGCTTTCCCTCTGGCCCAGGAAAAAAACCGTTTGGCCACGAAGGGGGTCAGGGTTTGGGGCCCAGAAAAAAAGCCGTTTGGTCACGAAGGTCATTAGGGTTTAAATATACATAGTAAGAGAGTGTTTAGGGTTGAGGGTTTAGGGTTTGGGGGGGATTCCCTGTCGCAGCTGCAAGCTCCTCATGGTCAGGAGCTCCACGCTGCACTGGCTGTGGCCGTGGCAAAGTGGCATCGCGACGAGCTTCTCGTGGCACTGGGTGCAAGGAAGGCAAGCTCCCCAAGAGAGCAGAAGAGCCATGGAGCAACATGCAAAGCACAGGTGCACTGTGAACATATGGGGTTTACGTTATTAGGGGTATCCTACTCTTTGGGCTCTGTCTCAGGGGTCCCTTATTTTCGTAAACCCACATATGCATCGTCACGACACCGCATGTACATGATCGGACAGCTGGGCAGGTTCCTGCTGGGGCAGTTGCCGACATGGCCAAAGTCTTCGACACGGATCCGGCTCAGGTGGCTTCACTTGCCACAGCTATGTCAGCGCTCTTCAACGCTACGTAGAAAGTGATGCTTTCATCCATGTGGGGGTTTACGAAATGAGGGACCCCGAATATAGTCCTCAAGTAGATGGGTTCCCTTATTATAAGGACCCCACAAGGTACCCCTAATTTGGGCAACCCCAATATTCCAATTCGACAGCAAGGCCCTAGTGGTCCGTGACGAGGGCGGCAAGCCTGTGGGGCTCCGCCAGGCGCAGTGGATATCGGTGGATGTGCAGCTCGACATGGGGGATTCCGAAAATAGGGGTACCCGTTTGGGCGGGTGCCTTTAAAGGGTTCTATTCTATTTGGGATATAAACGGGGTATCCTATTTTGGGATATAACCACATGCCACTTTTTGCAACATGACCCGCCACTCAAGTAGGTGGCTTGGCTCGGCGACCGGCCAAGCGCCGAATCTCCCCGGCGGCCACCAGGCTGATCGTGCCTGCAGCTAGTGACCAAACAGGATTCAGCAGGGAAGATATATATATATATATGTACATATGCATATATGAAAATTTACATACACCCCCCCCCCCCACATCTTTATGTGAGTTTCCTGAAGATGTTCCTGATGATGAGCGCAGCCGATGCTCCGTGCGAAGTGTCAGAGGCTTTGGCGAGCACAGTGTCGAAGTTCTCACGGAGGCGAGCGCAGACCGAAGGGTCGCAGCATCTTCGTACTACGCTGTCCAGGGACGTGCCCAGCCGCCATGGCAGCTGGCTGTTGCAAAAGATAGGCTGCAGTGTCCTGTTTTGGAGGATCTTCAGCTGAGTCCTGCTGATGTGCAGAGGCATCTTGGAAGCGCTATCGGAAAGTCGGGGGGTCGTGACGCAGCTGAGAAGGGCTGTCCTTCGACCGAGGACCATGGAGTTCGGGAGTAATAGTTCGGGGGCGGATTTTTTTAGGGCGTTTGCGATCAAATTTGCTCCTTCTGAGGTTGCTCGAAGACGGTGTGGTGCATGCCGACGAAAGCCGAGGGTTGTGAACAAAAGTGCCGTCCCAGCACTGGCCCTTGCAGCATGTTGGATGACTAGATTGCCTGGAGTGTCTCTTCATCTGCAGAGCATTGCGAGTTGCTGAGCAACAGCGCATTTGAACGATGTAACCTTCACGCTGAATAAAGTTTCTTACCGAACTTAGCTAGGTCTTGAAAACACTTCGTTTACCCTCAGTATCAGTCGTGCTGGATGTGTAGACTGAGTTGGGCGCCTTGCGCAGGAAGCAGCTCTATCCGGCAGTTTGAACTCGGCGCGCCCTGAAACTCTCACCCGGATGTTGGTTTTAAGTCGCTGAGCCAGTGACGTATAGTGACAGCCCATTGACCTGTCATCACATCGTGATAATGTCGATGGATCTTTGATCCTGCCTGTGCCATCGCACCTGTACTGTTTGAGTCAGTTCTGTGGCACCCAAGGCGTCGTTTGATCTTGAAGGTTACGCCATGAAAATGCAAAAATCTGCTGCAAGCCGGGTACCAACGCAGGATTCCGCATGATGCCCTAGCAACAGCCGACTCTGCCAAGATCTGCCAAGCGTTTTTGCTAGCGTAAAAGAGCATGTGTGGCTCAATGCGGACCAACCGGACAACAGCACACGAGTCGATGTACCCAAGGAGCCCCAAAACCCATAAATAGCTTGACGCTGCCATAGTATGATCGTAAGACCTACCACTGCTTTCCTTGCAAGCTGCACCTCCGGGCCTGCAGATGCAGCCTCATGGCTGCGGTTGGCTTTGGGCCTGGCCAGCTCATAGGCCGGACGCGCCTAGAAGCGCATCGAAGCGCAGAGAAAGCGCATGGAAGCGCTAGACCGCTAGGGCCACTAGGTGGAAGCCCCAATATGTTTCAGGAGAGCCGGAGGAGAAGCATGAGAGCCGCAAACGCCTGCTTGCACCTGCTTGCACCTGCCACCGCAGATGAGCTCGTGCGGCCGGTCAATGCCGTGGACCTCAAGAGCCCCCGTGGCAAGTCGCCCAGGACACGGCGCGATGACAGCAGGCACCTTTGTTTTGCCTTTCGCTCACTCTGCTTGCCTGGATACCACTTGGAGGTTCATGGTACCTATTAACCAACTGTAACTGTACGTACAACTGAACATCCAAGTCGTAGCAGTCGAGTTGGAATGACAATCTGGCAGAATCTAGTCGATGTAGGTCCAAGCGGCGGCAGCTGAAGAAGGATGAGCCCTTGGCGAAGGGAGGCCAAACGCAGAGGCCCTATACCTGGGCTTAGGGTTTAGGGTTTAGGGCTAGGGTTTAGGGTTGAGGGTTTAGGGTTTTGGCTGCCACAAGCGAGATGTAGCAGAGTGGACGGGCCTGCTTGCGAGGCCGAGCACGAGCCTGGTGGGGCTGGGAAATCTCACCGTCGAGGCCGACCATATCCGCGTCTTCCTAGACGTCCGTACTGAAGTCTACTCCTAGCTGGGCATACTTTTGAGTGGCACAAAAGCCCTGTAAACATGCGTGGATCGGCACATGACCTCGAGTGTGGGAGAGGCTTTGCAGTTCCTGCTCCAGCAGCCCAGGACAGCATGCAGCCCCCTTAAGCCCTCTAAGCCCGACCTAATAAGAATAAGAATAGTAATAATACTAATACTAATAAGTAATAAGAATAAGAATACTAAAATAACAATAGCAATAAATAGTAATAGTAACCTGAACCCCATAAACCCGAAAGACCATGAGAACCCAAGTCCTCGCAAGCCGGTTTTCGTCCACAGCCGCCAATGCTAGTCTCAACAAACGGTTCTTGTGTCGGCCTTGACCGTCGGACTCCTCAACCCTAAACCCTAAACCCTAAACCCTAAACCCTAAACCCTAAACCCTAAACCCTAAACCCTAAACCCTAAACCCTAAACCCTAGTTGATTTCATGCTTGCGGTTGACTTTGTGCAGGAACCGCTTGCTGATCGAAGAGTCCCATGAGCTGCAGGCTCACCGTGCGTACTGAGCTGCTACTCTGAGGGTTTAGGGTTTAGGGTTTTAGGGTTTAGGGTTTAGGGTCGGGCCTTTCAAGGTTCTCATTCTGCAGGCTGGAACAGAGATGGGCAAGTACATGGCAATGCGAGGGCTTGGGACCTCAGGGGATTCCACCAGATTCCGAAGAACATCGAAGAACCGAGCGGAGTCTGATCTAAGTAGTGCCTTCCTGTGGACAGCCTAACGCTGCCCGATGTGCCGCAGGCCGATTCTCCCAATGTTACCCTAAACCCTAAACCCTAAACCCTAAACCCTAAACCCTAAACCCTAAACCCTAAACCCTAAACCCCCTGTCAGATGTCCGAGGTCGGAGCAGACACCCTTCCAACTTCCGGCCAGCAGGCCGAGCTGGAAAGGATTCGTCTGGCAGCCTTCGCTGTATTCTACTGATTGCTTAAGAACCACGAAAAAAATAAGAAGCATTTTCCTCATTAAGGGTAATCTGGGGATTGTTGTTTTTTATTCTTTTGGGGTTCTTAAAGCAAACAGTAGCGTTGCTTACATTCTCAGACACTTTGTGAGTGGCCCGGCAGCTTCGGTGGCGTGGAACAGTTTAGGGTTTAGGGGTTAGGGTTTAGGGTTTTACAGATGCTGGCTGCCAGGGCTCCGGTGGGCTTCTTGCGCTACAACAGCTGGGCTCGCGCAGTGGCTGGGGAAGCCCCGGACTCGCTCCGCCTGTGGAACTTGACTCTTTTTGACTATATCCCCCTTGGGAATTATTTTTGTTTAGGTTTATATAAAGCCCAAGAGGATTTTAAAAATAGTAGTTTCATCAAGGTTCTAAGGGGAGTATAGGCACAGTGCAATGGCTTCAGAAACAGGTTTAGACGAAGAAAGCTGAGCTGCTCCTCTTGCCGTTGCGCCATTGAAGTCGTGAGCTGTGATTAGCCCATTAGATGTTGGGCACATTTGGTCAAGTGGTGCTCCACATTTTTGGAACTCCTCTTTCTGTATGCCAGGAGTTGCCTGTTGCACGTGTCGATGTTGAATTCCAGTGATATCCTGCATTCAATGTTATTGGCTGCACCAAGACCTTCCGTGCCTGGATGGAGCACCTCAGAAAGCTGCGGCGAGAGGCAGGGCCCAGACGGGACATCCCCCAGTGCTTCGAGCGAACAGTGAGCCTTGTTTTTTGATGGCAAGCTTCTCCCCATGCGCCTTTGAAGTGGAAGCCTTTCTGGAACCCTAAACCCTAAACCCGAACCCTAGACCCTAAACCCTGAACCCTAAACCCTATACCCTTGGTATCCAGGGTGTGGGCCGGCGGAGGCGGAGGTCATCCTCGGTGCCGGCAGCTCAAATGATACTTTTTTTGACCTGTGGCGCGTGTCGTGAAGGGTGAAGGTAATGACTCCTTTTTTCGAAGGCTATCGGCCTACCGCTTGGCCTCAATCCCTTCCGATGAGTCTTCCACCTGCACATGGTGCCCTCAACTTCAATGACCAAGGCTTATCGTCAAGGATTTGGCCGCATCCCTGAACGGGCCAGGCACTGTGTCGGCACCCTGATTCGCTTGCGCCATCAGACTAAGAAGTGTAAAAAGCACGGAAATGGATGCCAAAGTTCATGGCTTGTCTGCCATTTGGTAGACTGCCGAGAGCCTGTGGAGATAACATGAGAAAACTGCTGATTCATTGAGGGTCTACTGTAGGGGGGCCCGCCACCTGGCTACAGAATACAAAAGTTTCGACTGTCGACTTGCCTGTGGAGAACTAAACCCTAAACCCTAAACCCTAAACCCTAAACCCTAAACCCTAAACCGAGTCCTCTTTGTGCAGGCCTGGGTGAGCGGATCGACTCCGACTCCTCCGACTCCAGCGACGGAGAGGGCGAGCTTGGGGAGTCGATCTTCGATCCTTTGGCAGCAGCCTCGGGCCCATGAGCATGAAGGACCCTAAACCCTAAACCCTAAACCCTAAACCCTAAACCCTAAACCCTGAGAGGAGGCCTGCTCACCAGGGGGAATCTTAGTAGAGTAGGTGGCCTTTAACCTTGTTGGGGTACGATGATCCCCTAAAAATCCTCAAGGTTCACCTTTAGTTCCCCTAGGTACTGGACAACTCAGGAATTAGCTCTGACAGATCTGCCTGCATGGCTAAGAAACACACTTTGACATTGTGCAGCTCACTTGATGGCCCGAGGTGGTGGATGCTGCAGCCTTGCACACTGCAGCTAGACTGCAACTTGACATTGCGCTTTTTTGCGCTTCCTGAGGCAACATAAGCCGACAATACACAACAGAACTCGGGGTCGTAAGATATTCCAAAATGTGAGTAGGTTGTGCGCCAGCTTGTCCTGTCAGTACGTAGATCTGGGCAGCCAGACACAGGCTTTTTGTGCTGGGGTCCGCTTTTGCAGAAGCAGTTTCTGACAAGAGGTTACAGCATGCACGAAGTCACATGTTTTCGCCGTTAACGCAACGTTTACATGCATCGGTTCACATGTTCGTAGCTCAACACGTTACGTTTTCGATCGTTTTCTTGCCGTATGGCCTTTGTGCTCGAGGCAAGCCTATTGTAAAGGTTGTGTGAGCTCATCTCTGTGCATGAGCTAGGGCAATGCTGGATGAGCCACCGCAATTACCTAGACCAACAAGGCTACCAGAGGAGTCAGTAGCTGAAAACAAAAAGAGGAGTGCGACCTAACAAGGCTCCATTCTGAGGCTGCTGCTTTGCAACGTGCAAAGAACAAATGCGTCTTGTTTATGGCCTTGCCATCGACTAACTCTGCTGCTGGTGAAGGTGCACGTCCTTACAGCTAGCAGACTCACGCAATCGGTACAGCTAGGCGAGGCGGTCAGATACTCTTGCCAGCAATAGGGCAGGGGTCAGCTCGTGTCCATCGGAGCAACAAAGCCTGTGGGGAGTGGGCCAGGGGCCCTAGGAGGCGGATTCGCTGCAAGGCAACCCACAGGCCGGAAGTTTCGACGACAGCCAATCGTCTGGTAGGTTCCCCCACGCCGGATTGTTTGCAAGGGGGTCGTGACCATGGGGTCCAGATGGTTATTGGGGGTGGAGGTCCACATTCCATGAAAGGCCCATAGTGGGTGCATGCAGTAGGGGGTCTATACAAGGCAAACCGGTCGAATGGGGCACTGCTGCCCATTAATACTGGTAGCTCAATTTTTGGAGGTGGGTTGTTCTGTTGCCCCAAACGCCTTAGGCCTGGAGCTTGGGCGGGTTTTGTGCAGGCCACGCAGCAAGCAAGTAACAAACAGATGCTGCAGGCTTTTCGCACTGGCAGCCTGATGGCCATCATGAAAGTCACCACCCCAGATACTGCCTCGAGACAGTCCTGGAGTCTCCCGGTAGTCTTATCACCAGCATTACTCATTACTCATTGCCCATGTCGCTTCGCCCGAGGCCAAGCAGCCATCACAAAGAGAGGCGCTCGTTAGCATCAAACAGAATGATCGTCTGGCCCGGGACTAGAGACCAGACGACCTCTCCAGAATCATTGGATGCCGATGCCTGACAGCGCATGGATGAGCGGACTGCTGTCAGCGGGCTGCCAACGTCGCGTGAGGTGCCCGAGACCAAAGCGAGTGACGTTCTTCCGGAGCGGGGGGGGGGGGGGGGGGAAGCACGTTTTGCCACATTACGGTCATGATCTGCTGTCCCTACTCTTCCCCCTACTTAGGCCCTTGCCTCTTGCCTGTTGCGTGCCACGGTGTGCCCCTTATAGGGCCCTATAGTAGGGCCACGAACTGCAGGACCTGAACCACTTGAGCCCAAGCACCTCCAAGACCACCGAGTCCAGCTCGGAGCGGAAGGGCTCGAAGAGGCCAGATGTTATACATTATATGATATTATATATATACATAATATATATATATATATATACTCACAAAATGACATACATACATGTACAATAATAATAATAATAATAATGATAATAATAATAATATATATATATATATATATGTGTATATATATATACATATTATATATGTATCAGCAGCTATACTCATCAATGTGTCTGAGCAGATACTCTGCAAAGCACCGGGCCTACCCACACTGCGGCTGCTTTGCACCTCCGTTCGCAGGGCATGACCCGGACCTATGAGCCCATCATGAGCTTAAACTTGAGGGTCCAAGAATGTTGCAGAACCAAAAAAAGATTTCACAGATTAGAGGATCAGCTCGTTGCTGGCTTCAGAGGCGTTTTGCGAAGCCCTCAAAAGAAACTCTCGGCAACTCGCTGGGTCCTCGGCTTCTCTCGGCTTCTCTCTCACGTTGATCACGAGCAGGTGATTGAAGACGTCCCTGCTGTACCCTTGACGCTTGTCACCGTCAATCCTCCCGACTTGCTGTTGCTGAAACGCTCACAGTGATTTCTTGCATCCAGGGCCCGCTGGGACGAGGAATGTGCGCCCGGCAGTGCCAGGGATCTGTCAATTTGGCTTGCAGGAATGAAGCTTGTTACTCGCATTTGCCTTGTGCACCTGGGTCTGGCATTCTGGCAATGGTTCCCATTGTTCCCATCATTGCTGGCATACGCAACAGTCTGCTCTGGCGCAGTTGGCAGCCCGGACGAGCGCATGCGTCGGGAGCGCTTGATGAACGATGCCGAGTACAGACCTCAGCCAGCCTTTGCAAGTGCAGTAGATCTATCACAATTCTGCAGCACGGGGTTCGAGCTGAGGTACGTCGGCTTCCAGATGGATAAGCTACGTCGAACCAAGGTGAGCCTGCCTTTCTTCCGCCCCGAACCCCGAACGAGGCGAAGGCGGCTGAGAGCATCTGAGAGCGGCTCGTGACTGAGGTTGTAAACCGCCTAGCCCAGACTAGTGCTCCGGACCTCTTCGAGGCAGGCACAGGTACTGGCCCGCCTCTCAGAACCCGCAAAGTGCATAGCGCGTAGATTGTAGTACCCGCTGTCACCATGTGCTGGAGGCAGTCAGAAGAATGGGCCACGTCGCCTTGGAAAGGCTGGCGGGGCTTCCGAGATCTGCTGAGGTTGTTGGATGGTCTTGTCGGCCTCCTCCGTGACAGGACGGGGAGTCATCTCTCAGCCTTCCCAACCTTGCCAGAGGCACGTGAGAGGGTGGGATTGACATAGAAAGACGGGCTTCATGATGCCACATTGACATGGATGTGTTCCCAGCTGAGAAGACTTAGCGAGCTCATGCCCGCTCTTCTCTTTAAGCTGTGGCTGCAAGCCCTGAACCGCGGTGCTCGAAGGTCTTTGCATCTCCATGCATGATGAAGCCATAACACTAAACCCTATACCCTAAGCCCTAAACCATACAGCACGTTTGGCTCAGGCACAAGAGCGGCGCCGGACGGGCGCGGCGGAAATCGAAGAGAAGGACATGTGCTGAGACCAAAGGGGTTCAGCGGGGCATTATCGCTCAAAGTGCAAACTAGGTTTCAGATTTCTGCGGGGTTGCTTTATCACAGGTTCTTTTGGGAACTTTTCCGAATGTGCAGAAACAGCGGCTTCCCTTCTCAAGGAAAGACCGACCAGTCCAAAACGATGGCAAAGCCTGCAGCTTAGCAAGGCTGGTCCTGTGAGTCAGCTCGCCCAGCCACCTTCTGAAAGGACCTGCGGCTTGGACATTCCAGTTGTTGAGTGCAGTTGGATGACTCGTTGCGCTTATGTGAGATGTGTGAAAAAATCAGTTTCCAGGGTCGCGGAACACAGCAGGTACTTTGTGAGTTGCTATTCTGCGGCGATGCTGTTTGCCTGAGGCGTGGAAGCAATACGTTCTTCCTCGACAAGGAAGACAAAAAGCGAGGACCTCTTAAGTTTTTGCACATGCAACATTTTCCCCTCCTATTCAGTACATTGCAATTTCCTTAAGCCATCCCGTGCTTTGTCTTTCATACAATACGTGGTAAGCCAGAATGTACTTGTTGCAGGAGCCGATGTCACCAGCAGCTACACAATGACCCAGGCCCCGGCCCTCCTTCAGCAGAGTCAGCAGGGTTAGATTTTTTTGGGGGCAGGTCGACTTAGCAAAGAACGTTCAAAAGGGCTAAGGTCATTCCTGGGCACGCACGCCTTCAGTTCGAGTCGAGAGGGCTGATCAGGCCTCAAGGGTCATCTGCTCTGAGCGCCAGGTGCGGGACATGAAGTCTATGATGCAAAAGTCCACGGCCGACCTGACTAGGCCGAAGGCCGCCAAGTAAACACTGAGGCATGTTTGTGTGAAACCGGTGCGTAGGTTCCACTGGCACCAGCGCAAGTTGGGAGTCAGCTGTGGAGAAGCCTTGAGCTGCTAGAGTGTTGCGAGTGACGGCGAGTGAGCAGGTCAGCTCCGAGTCGTGCTGCTGGCCTGATTTTGGGACTTTCGGCACAGTGTCCGGAGGGAGTCACGAGATCGCGACCCTCAATATTTGTGGCTAGTAGGTACACCTAACTACTGTGACCCTATGCCGCTGAATGAATCCTTGACCTTCTGGTTCGTCATGGTTCGTGTGAAGACCCTCCGCTCTAGTCTCTCTGTTATCCTTGATTCATGAGGGTCATGGGGCAAGACGCTTCGCGAATTGTTGGCGATGGTGAACTCGAGAAATCGAAAGTTGAGGGTTCCAGGGATTGAGAATGTATCTTGCTACGGCTACCTGCTTCTCGATTCAAGAGAATGGGATCTTCAGGCGATCATGGTCTCTATCATTGTCGGTACCGTGGCCATCGACATTGGGGGTTTCCGAAATTCGGGGTACCTGATTATGGTCCTTATGATAAGGGAATCCTACTATTTGGGGATCTTGTTGGGGGTGCTCTATTTTCGTAAACCTCCACATCTTAGCAGACGGTCGAAGGGCATTAGAGTAAATCAGGGAGCCCACGGCCCAAACTGTCGGCATGCGTGTGCATGGATCGCTTTGCTGGCGCCGTCGTTCTGACAACCAGCGCAGCTGCTGTAGTGGACCTTTCCGGACGCCACTACTGCCACCGGCATGCAGACAGTGTCGTCAGAGTGTGTTCCGTGAGTGGTGCCCAGCTTTGTTATAGTGCACGAAAAAACCAGGCGTACTCATGTGATAATCACTGCCATTATGTGAGGTTGGACGTCTGACTTTTCTGCGGAGCTCTGCTGCCGGAATGATCCCCTCGTGGAGAAGACGTGCATGTTTGACCCATTCTTCTACACGAAGGCTGAGTGTTGCTCCTCTGGTTTCGCAGTACTGGATCCGTACACCTTTTCGCTGGGCCCTTCACCCAGTTTCCCAAGAAGCCAAGATTGGAGCATTGGCCATCCCTCCCAGACTCCGGATCAGCTCCACTGGGAAGCCCTGATCCGGTACGCTGCGATCGACAAGACGATTCCCTCACCAGTTGGAAGTATAGGGCTGAGGGTCTTTAAAGGCGATGTGCCAGACGTTCAAATGTACAACCTCGAGACATCTGGGTATGTACCATCCACCATTTTGGATGTTGGTGCCAACTATGGTGGTGTTGCAGTGGCCCTTGCACGGCTGTACCCGCGTGCGCGACTGGTTGTGCTTGAACCGAACCCACTGCTGTGCCGCTTCTTGCTCTGGAACTTGCGCCGGCATGGCCTCACGAATCGAGTGTGGCCGCTGTGTGCAGGGGCCGCTGAAACAGCAGGCGAAGTGCTTATGCAGCCTTGCAACCAGCCTTGGATTGGAGCCCCGGTAAACACGTGTATGAACCTGGCCATGCGCACGTTCAGCACCGCCGCTGATGCCTCGGCTGGACCTACTGTGAAGGTCAGCCAGCTGCAGTGAACTGTATTTTTTTGTATGTAGATGTATGATATGTGTAAGCGTATGAGAATGTATGTAGCTGTAAAGCGATGAAGCCCGCTTCGCATCGCTTCGCCAGCCACCGTTGACTGGCCTTTCTTCTCAGGTGCCAACGCTCACCCTGCATGGCATCCTGCATGGCGTCGGCTGGACAAGTCTTGACCTGCTCAAGCTAGACTGCGAAGGACTGGAACGTCGGACGCTAGGGTTTAGGGTTTTAGGGTTTGGGGTTTGGGGATGCCCTGAAGTTGCACTGTCCTTTGTGGTTGCAAATCAGATGAAACTCCGACACTGTTTTTCTGAAGGCTGTGAGTGGCGTGCAGCATTGGATTCCGCCACTTGGCCGGCGCCGCTGGCCGCAGCTCCTTGTCACGAGGGGAGTGCTCGCTGAAAGTAGGAGATTAGTATAGATCAGTGGTGTTATTGCATGTCATTGGTTATTGGGATCCTGTACAAACACGCCTTGTCGTATTGTACATCTCTCTCTTGCAATGTGCCGTCTGAGGTTGGCGAGTTGCATTTCGACTGCGCTGATACTGCCTGTTGGCCTCCCAAGAAGCAGGCCCACAGTTCTCGCGGTATGTGGGGTCGGCGAATCGCGAGTGTGTATCCTCACGTGGCCGGCAGCAAAAGTTCACGTCACAAATCGGGCAACCCCTCGACTCCCACCTGTTTCGTGGGCTGTCGTGGTGACCGTGGGACCGTAGGCGGTGTGAGTTGTTGGGAAGTTGACGGCCAAGAAGGGGGAGGGGTGGGTGCAGCTTAGTACCGCTGTTGTGAGGAGTTGCGGCTGTGGGAGTAACCCCCCCCCATGTCACCGTTTTCGATGATTCAAGCAGAACGAAAGCAGAGCATGTACATATGTATGATATTTTCATACAGCATGTTTTGAGTTCGCAGATCCTCCCACCAGCTCTCTTACATACTGTCGGCACTGGATTTTGCAGGGTTCCGGGAGGGCACTGGCATTCTATCTCATCTGGCCAGCAGCGGCTAGCCACTGCGAGGTTTGATAGTTTAGCTTCCAAGACTGCGGCACAGTGTGTGGTGAAGAGAGTGTCCCATTGGTGTTCCAAACCCGCGTGCCGGAGGCCCGCGACCAACGCAACTGCAGCCACGTCGCCCAGTTCAGCTCACTTGAGGAAATGCGGGAGTTGATACGCCGGTGTGCATAGCCACGAGCTGGTGGCCCGAACCGGAGATGGAGTCGAAGACAAGGTGCCTCCGAACGTCCAAACATGCTCTCCAGGCCTTCCCTAAGAAGGGGCAGAGCTGCATGGCCCGACTCAGCCCTGCGAGGGCCTCTGAGGAAAGGAAGGCGCTGAGCTGCGCAGATCTCCTCACAACTGCCGCTGCCTTGCTCCTGCATTTGGCAGCAGAAAGCCTCTCTCTGCGTCTATGCGAGTGCAGCAAAATGGTGGAGTCAGAGCATTTGTTTGCTTGAAGGGTCCTGCGGGAGCCTTCTCAGTCAAAGGTTCTGGTCATCATGCCGCCATGCGCTCTTGCCAGGACAGAGAAGGCTGAGAACGCTTCCCGGAACGTTCGTATCGCTGGCTGACGAGCTGAACAAGCCATGTAGCGTTGCAGCGCTGAGCAGTGTAGCAGGATTGGTGCAAGTCTTGGGAAGGAAGCAGTAGTTGATGTCGAACGCTAGCTTGATTTGATGTTTGCCATGCTTTCATCATTGGCATCATCGCAATCGTTGGAGATATCGAAGTGCAAAGCAGCATTTCATTACATGCTTCTTGGCCAATGGTCATTAACTTGGAGTATTATTGCGCCGGAAAGTTTCACAGCTGTGGTTTCATGTCAGCGACTGAGGCTCTGGCCCTGACAGTTGTAATTCGTCCCCTAAACCCTAAGCCCTCAACCCTAAACCCTAAACCGTTGGAGCTCATGACAACCCCCACCACACCGAAGTCCACACCCAGGCCGCCAAGGGTTGAGTGCGGAGTTTCTGATCGGAAAAGGGCAGGCCGAGTCCACCACTCGGGTTTTGTAGTTCAAGGCTTAGTGGGTTACGGTGGGTTGCGGTGGGTTGCGGTGGGTTGCGGTGGGTTACGGTGGGTTACGGTGGGTTCACTGTTGAGGGGTTGCGATTGGATCGCAACTCAGTCTGGGGGAATGTTCTACTTTTAGGCGAGAGCTACCTGTTAATTACCCACAGTCATCCTCTCACAGGCAATGAGTCCTAGCCTGACAGAGCCACCGGAATCATTATTGGAATCATTATTGGCAGTGGAACTGTAGCATACAGCTTCCCTGCCTCAAGCCATGCCCCAACGGCCAGCAAGTGGTTCTTTCGTCTGTTTGCACTATATTTCGTTCCGTCGTGTGACATGTGCTGTGCCCGGGGGGCGCGCAGTAACAGTATGGGTGCGTATTGACGCTTAAAGCGACCTACGCGAAGAATCATTCCCTGAAAGGGGAGAGGTTGGTAGCCATAGGGAGTCTTCGGCTCGTCCGGCGCGGGCCGTTGATGTGTCATGCTTAAGAGCGCGCAGAGAAAAGGACCAGTGCTCGCATTCAGTGGTTTTGCTTTGTTGAGACGTTGACAGGGGTCGAAGGCTGTATTGAAGCGAAGGATGTCATGGAGGCCACCGCGAACAAGCAAAATGCCTGACGTAGAAATTCATCATGACATCTGCGCAAAAGGGGTACCAGAAAAAAGTCAAATTGAAAAGAGGCTGGTTATGTATCTATCACCCGGCATGCCTCGATCATGAAGTAAGGACCTTCCGGTGATAAACTCCACATGATTCCGACGATCCTGCGGCACAGTCGCTTTGCCAAGCAGGGGAGATCAGGAAAGGACTGTTGAGAACAGACGTTTGCGCATTGGGAGGTTGAGGGGGTTTCCGAGGATGGGGGAGAGGCAGGAGGGCGCCAAGAGTCGTTGAGTACAAGAGGGTCGCGCTCAGAGACGGGGAGCTTTCACGGGCACCGAACCGGCAAAGCTAGGGTGAGCGTAGGTTCCCCGGGCAGCTTGTCGTCCGGTGAAGCTCACTTTCCATGGGCATTTTCTGCCAATCTCCCAGTGCCAGTCAAGAAAGATACCGTTTATGCTGCATGTGGAAGCATGTGGTCAAGTCTCGCCCTTCAGCTACACACAAGAGTCCAATGGTTTTTTTGAGCGAGAGACTTCGCAAAATCATCTCGAAGCCTCATGAAGGCCTCGTGGCCTTCTGTCTGTATGTTTTTTTAAAGGGTTTTTAATTCAGGGGCAAACCGATCAGGACGGCGTATGGGGGCGGATGGCACACAGCCTTCGGCAAAGGCCGTCGAACTCTCCTAGCCTTCGTCGAAACTCTTGGCCTTCGTCGAACCCCCCTCCCGGCCTTCATTTAGCCTTCGTCGAACCTCCGGCCTTCATTTAGCCTTCGTCGAACCTTCGCGTTTTTTTTCGGGCTTTGTCTTGGCCTTTTGTATCGGTCTTGGTCGAACCCCCTCCCCCTTCGTCGAACCTCCCGGCCTTCGTCGAACCTTCGCCCGGCCCCCCGGCCTTCGTCGAACTTCGTCTCGGCCCGTTGGTATCCCGAGTCTTCGTCGAAGTTCCCCGGCCATCCTGCTCTTCGGCCATCCTGATGTGTTTCCCCTTATAATTACGGATAATCAGTTTTGTTCGATCAGCCGGGTAAGTTCAGGCTTGGTAGAGTTGAGGTACAGGCAGTGTGAATGGGCCCTGTGAGATTTGCGGCAGCTGTGGCTGACCTGAGAACTTACCTTGCACTGGTGACTAAATAGACCACAGCAGCAGCATCCATGATTCTTCCACTCATGTTATGACCGTGTACCCGCTTCACGAAGCCACGGCAACTGAAATGCAAATAAAACTTAACAGTAGCTAGCTGCTGTTTCACTACATCCATCATGATGCTTCGGCAGTGCCTGCTGGTCCTGGATCTAGTGCTGCTGTGGAAAGCAGCCGATAGCAAGATGATGATTCGAAGAGCCTGGTACGAAGATGCATTTTGCAGCGGTGCTCCCTACATGGAAGAGTTCTTGCTGAGCGGATGCACAGGCGACGGGTTTGCTGAGATGACGTGCAACGATACTGGTGTATCTGCATCTCTGCGCGAGAATGAGGATTGTACAGGCAATGCTACTTCCACCCAGTTCACACGATTCGACACGTGCAACAATAAGCAGAAGATGCTTTCCTGCATCGACATGGAAGGCTATGTAGTCGCATCCTACAACAGGTCAGACTGTGCTGATGAGGAGCTGCTGATGCAGTACATCTTTCCGGCCGGATGTCGTGCAACTGGCAGGATAGAAGGCGGCAACGTGACCATCGAATCGCAGCATGTAGAACTGGTCCGCAGGAACCTCGTTGTGAAAACTTACGCCGGCAGTTCTTATTGCGCTGGGAATCACACTGAGGCCAGACTTGTTGAGCTTCCTTGTGGGGCTGTCTGCGTGGACGGAAATACGCACAATGGTCTGTCCAACGGCACCTGGTACGCTTACAGAGGCAGCTGCCGGGCAGGTGTCAGTGGGGCCCATGTCCAGGAAGGGCCCCTGAGCCTCAAGAGCTTTCTCTTCATGCTTCTGACACTCAGCATGCATGTATGACATATTGCTGGCTATCAGCGTTCATTGATCGCAGTAAACGCTCGTTGATACTTCGGCTGCATCCTGATCTTTGGGCCAAAATGGCCCAAGTCTGGCACCAAGAAGGCAGCTCACTGTAAAGCGCTCTGCTCATCAGAGGCTTTTTCACCCATTCGTTCTTGAAGCCACTTCAAGAGATGTTCCACTGCATGTGCATCTTGCGAGCCGTTTCCGAATCATACGTGACGGCCTTGCGACCAGGTAGCACACACTCAAGCCAGAGGATAAAAACCAGCGAGCGACTGAAACTTGCAGAGAAGTTGGAATGTAGGGCAAGGTGTTCGTGGGTGTTGTGGTTTCCGGTTTGAGGTCATTACTAACATGGCCAGAACAAGATAGTAAGAACTAAGAATGGTAAACACATTAACGCCAGTGCGGCCCGCCTCGGCACGGCTGGCGCTTGAGCTAAAAACTTCTACGACGGATGAAGATGGCCGAGTGCCGCAGCTTCTGATCGACGCACTTGTAGTGTCCGTTGATGCTGATGCGGGGGTCCATAGGACATAGCAGGCGGGGGTCCATCGTAGGACGTAGGAGGCCCAGAGATGGTTGGGGGGGGGGGGGGAACAAACCTCCATACAGTCATCCCTTCTGCCTAGTACCCCTAATATAAAGGGTCCCCCCCCCTGTATAAAAGCCCCCAAAGGGTTTTAGTAGGTTCTTATTGTTTGTCCGAAAAACCAGCCCGTCCTTGTTGTAGCATGCTGCCCAGCCTATGCCTGACTCAGCCGGTCTTTCCAGCCTTTCCTTTAGTGTTTAGGGTTTAGGTATCCCTAAACCCTAAACCCGGAACCCAAGCCCTTTTGGTTCAGGTTTGGGAAAGGTTCAAGTTTCTCTAAACCCCCCTCTCTCTGTTCAGGGTTGAATGTTTAATGGTTTAATGGGGACCGGATCGGGATTTTGGGCCAGTTTTTTTTGTTAAGATTAGGGCTTTATTTATATTAGGGGGAAGAGATTAGGGGTCATTAGAACTCCATGGCGGGCCACCAAAGGATCCATAAGAAAGTCCATAGGGCTGGAGATTCAGGAGGCGGGTTGTTCTTATACCCAAACGCCTTAGGCCAGGGGCTTCGGCGGATGAAAAAGACCTTTGTGTATATAATCATACGTAAGTACAGCAAAACATTGCGAAAACAGTATCCCCCCCCTCCCAGCCCACCCACCCTCCTTGGAGAATCTCCAACACGAATGTTGGTATTTACAGCATCGTTGCATAACAAATAGGAAAAATCAAAAAAAGACCTTGAAACCATGTTTACTCCTAGTGATGTGGTTTGCGGTCCTGGCATCGGTGTGGTCGTGTGCTTTTTGCAAGAGGGGGGCTGCGCCTCAATTAAAGTGACTTCAAACCATGACTATGTGTGCAGTTAAGGGTGGCAATGTGGATGGATCATCTTGTTTCCCCCCCGCCCCTCCTCACCGCCATGTCGCTATGTTTGCACCTGAAGTAAAGGGAAGGGAAGGGCGGTAATGACGGAAGGGGAGGCGAGGAGGGCGAGAAGAAAACCTCGAGGTGGACTTTTGAATTTTGAAGAGCCGAGACCCCAAACTGCGCACAAAAAACTGGAACAACGCACAAAGACAACGTCTGACCCGCGGGATGGTTTAGTCAGATTGTTTCTTTCCACCTGCTACGGAGAGTTATACAGGACGTGGCCACGGAGTGGGCGGATGGTGTCGTCATCATCGGCTGCATTGCGCCCAACGACGTGCTCGCTGGGGCCGCAGTTGCTTTGGGTGCCGAAATCCGCATGTTCGGCGTCGACCCAGCCGAGAAGGAAAGGGCTTGGGCAAAGTCCTGGCCAAGGAGATGACTGGATGGCGAGACCATGCGGAGGCATGGCTGGCTGGCCCCTCGGTGGACTTCCAAGGACGGAAACCATTTGTTCAGACTTTATTCCCCCCCCCCTTTCCCCCCCCCCCCCGCTCCCCTCAACCCCCCCTGAAACTCCCCCCCTTAAGCCAATATCTATTCAAGCGCATTGACCTTTTGTGTTCAATTCTTTTCGTTGTAGTCATCATTACATGCCGGGCCTGGTGGCCAGTATTCCTCGATGCTTCCAAGTTGCTCCATTGCCACCATTGTCACTACTAGGGATTGCCGTCGGTTCCCGCAACACCTGCTACACTGCTACACCCATCACAAGCCACTTCAGCAGTAACTTGACATTCAAGTCACAGCGTTCAATAGAAACCACACCGACCATGGCGACGCTGAGCATTGTCGCCGGTGTCCAGGAGTACATCCAGGTGAGCATTCGGGCATCTGTGCTGAGCGTGAGCGTGGGTGCTAACTCAGCTGTGTCAGGCCATGGTGGACAGGATCTCTGGCATGAAAGTGCTCCTTCTGGACGAAGAAACAATAGGCGCCCCTCTGAACATGTCAGACATGAAGCTGAAAGTCTTTCATCGCTTTTCAACCAACACTTGTACTATGTTGTACCTGTAGTTGAGCTGCATTGCTGTGGAGACTTGCTGTTGTTTTTTGCGTGGATTTGATGTGTGTTGACACAGCGAAAGGCATCATCAGCATGGTCTTCTCGCAGTCGGACATCCTGCAGCATGAGGTGCTATAGGGTGCCAAGGGCTTCCAACGCGGTGCATCTACTCTTAGAAGTAGACCTCTCGCAGATGCCACTTTTCTGGGATACCGCTAATCCTGCCGGTCTCATGCTTTGATGATGAATCTTCATGGGCATAGGGTTCCTCCACCATGATTCGCTCCAACAGGATGTCACGCCAACCCTAGATTCTACAGGAGTACGTGCGCGCAATGTGAAGCTACAAGACAGTCTGCTCCGTCATCAGGTGTGCCGATTCTGGCTCGATTCATCCATGCTCGACATAGTGCGCCCAGCGTGTGAACCAGCAGCCCACCGCAACTCTACCTAGCTCCCCGCAATGTGAGCCCGCAAGAAGATACTTGTAAGGTTGACGATCATAAGAACACATTGGTTTGTTCGCCCGTGTGCCGTGCGGCCTGGTACAAGGACGTCCGGTCAGCCTGATACTTGCAGATGCGGTGACAAACAGCTCATTGTTCCGATTGCCAAAGCAGTTGGGTGTGTTGACCAATTGTTGATCCTGTTTCTTGCGGCTGGCAGGAATGGCGCCACCGCCCCCTGCTGCTGAAGATGTGGCCGAGATCTCAGTTGAGTCAAGCGGAACTGGCCTCGGGGCTACCTTTGCCTGCATGCGTTACTCGTAGCAGGCACAGATATCGGCTGTGACAGCTTCCTACTGTGGCACGCAGCATTCCTCCTGGATGCCACAGAATCACTGCGCGAAGTGAATGAGGCAATCTCAGCCTTGACTGCTGTCGGCAGCGAAGGTGCGAATGCAACCCCTGAGTGATCCTGAGTGCAACTACACTGTAGCTACACGTGCTCCCCCACGAGAGCCCTCATCTTCTCTGTTGACATTGCCAGCGGAAGCGTGGACCATGATCCAGGCTGTCACTGCAAGTTGGCCCTTGCAAGTGCAGGCTCGGATGGTGTGAGGCCGGCGCTGGTCTCAATTCAGCCACCACCAGGCCACCGCCAGAGCAGCTGTTCGTGAAAGTGTCACGCCTTTTTTGCCTTTTTTGAAAACTTGGGTTGTGACATGTGTGAGGAACTGCTCGCACCCCATCTGACATCTGCTGCGTCGTGGATGTGCCTGAAGCCCCAGACACACACATCGAAGGTTGACGCCACTTTCTCATTGTCTGGTCGCCGCAATTAAGTCCTGTGACTTTGTGAGACGCGAGAGCCGGCCCCAAGCCCCTCATGTGTTAGAGCTGCAAGCATGGGCCACTTCCATCTGCTGCTGAGGGTTCACTTTTTTGGGATCTTTGTTGATCTCCCAAAGAATCTTCCTACTCCCGTTGCATCACGCAAGTTTTGGACTTGGCCCGCGCAATTCAAGAACAGCTTCGTCGCGACAACACTACCCATACCTGTTGAGCTCATTCGGACCTTCCGTACATACTTGTGTTTCAAAAACCCTAAACCCTAATCCCTAAACCCTAAAAACCCTAAACCCTAGGAACGCTTGGACAGCTGCACATGATGGTGCTTGTGCAGCGGCATAACAACAGGTCGGGCTCCATGAGCAACGATGCACTGCTACAGAGCGAAGACGGGACGATGTCGGGAGCCGAGTGATGCTAAAAGGTTTAGGGTTTAGGGTTTAGGGTAGAACAAGCTGAATCGGTGAAGGATGAAGCGCCTAAAGTACTTTTTGCAGGATAACTGGCAGAAACGAAATCTAGCCTTTCTGGTGCACGAGCTACAGCTTTAGAGCAATAACACTGTAAATTGCATAAAGAGCTATACAACAACTTTACGAAATGCTCGGCTCACTGAGAAACCCACTTCGCGCGCCAGGCTGTGCGACGGTGCACGCGCGCTTTGCTCAGGTCAGCGAGCCACGGCCTGTCCGTCCTTGACATTGTCAAGCACGCCTTGCGAACCATCATCGCCGCTGGCCGAGCAGAGCAAGCTGATGATTTTGGTAGAACTCCGTGCCTCGTCCGTCCTAGACGGTCTAAGGCCATCTTGGGTGAGAACGACCGCTTAGCCGGCAACCCGGTGTGTCTCATGGACGAAGACAACATGAGCCCGGCATACTCGAACAGCATCCTGAGCAGCAGGGTTTAGGGTTTTAGGGTTTATGCGAGAGATCATTGCGGACCCATCCAGAAGCGATCAGCACTTGTGGTAGGGTTTAGGGTTTAGGGTTTAAACTGCCTGAGAGTCGTCGCCGGGAGCACCTTGCAGTTTTCGCAAAAGATCGAGGCACTCGTGTCTTACTCCAATGCGGCAAAGACCATCTTCCCGCTGACGGAGATGAATGAACATGGCAGGACAGGAAAGGGAGCATTCACCTCGGACCACCAACTTAGTTATGAATCCTCCCAACTTTCATGTATGCAATGTATGTATTCCACCTCCGCTCCCGAATGGAATGGAGCTGGCATTCTTACGTGGTCTGAAGCAAAGGCAGCAGGCAGAAGACAGAGGTTTTTTTTGTTCAACTCCCTGAGTTACCTCAAGCAAAACCATTCCTCCAAAGTTCGGCTGGGGAAGCTTCGAAGCATTGGCTTGTGCCACGCTGCGCGAGCAACAATCAGGAACGGCCATCGGAAATGCCCAGCGTTGTAAAGGGAAGGCTCAAGATTTGTATGCTCGAGTAGACTTCGACATACCGGTCAGCTAGGAGGCTCAGCACCCCTGGTTTCTGCTTCATGACAGCAAAGTAGGTCCACGGAACTGGCCCTAAACCCTAAACCCTAAACCCTAAACCCTATACGGGGGGAACCCGAAGGGGGACGAGAAACCGAAAAGTCAACCCCAACAGAATCCCTTGATTTCCCTGGATCAACCACACAACAAACCCAAACCACAGGGCACTCACCTTTTACTACCAGGCACATGGCCCAGTCTTGAGCCATAAAAATGATTTCCGGGTTTATTAACCCTTTCAACTTCCAACACTAACTTCTTTCTACAATACCAGTTGCAGCTCCGCACTCCCCCTGTCCTAGGATTTCCTAGGACACATTGGAGGTGCAGATTCTTTGGCCAAAAACTGCCATTAGGGCAGTAGCCTGCTGCTTGACATGCACAATATGGTTTAACGTCTACCAGGACGAAATTATAGCTCATTGGCCAAATCCACTAACCATAGAGAATCTTTTCACCATGATCCTCTCATCACTGAAGACTCCTTGGCCTTCTTCACCACAAACCGTGGTCTTCGCTACGCGAAAAGCTACTGACTTCTACTATCAGGGATTTCCATACCCTTAATAGTAACCACCACATTTGTCAGCACATTGGCTGTTCCAGCGCACCTGTCTCCAGAAAGAGAAAAACCATCCCTTCATCCATACCATCCAATCACTTCTTTTTCCGATTGTTGGCAATCTTGAGGTGAAGTTGCAGCAGAATATACTCCAGGTCTGAAACTGTAAGAACAGGATCCTGTACGCCCCTTTGAATTGAGGATACCAGTCCTTCTCTTTTCGCGTCCTCAATCGCTTGGCAAGGTTGACCCAGCTCTGCACTCACAGCTGCCGACGCTTGCTCATCCACATCAGGAGGACGATCCTTTTCTTCAGGACCTTTCACCACCACCACTTCTCCCTTTTTGGGACTCTGACTTTTCTCCTTCTTCTTCGCCTTTCCACCGACGATTGACTTTGCGCGCATTCTCGAGGCTTTTTCCCCTGCAGAAACCGCCGCATTGGTTGATGATCCACTCTTCTCAATGGTCGCCGGCATCTTCTTCGGCTTTGGAACCAGGAGGGTATAAGGATCTTCGATAACTACAGGTTTCCTCTTCTTTTTAACCTTTTTTGCCTCCTCCTCAACGATAACTTCCGTCTCAGAAGTCTCAACCACCTCCTTCTCGGCAGGGATATCTTTGCTGGACTCCCTTTCCAGGGACCTCTTCTTGCCCCTTTTGGGATCTTTTTCTTCTTCCAAGTTGGCTCGCTCGAACCATATCCTCAGGTCATTGACCCATTCTTCCACCTCCTCGAGCGAAACGTCATACGACTTCACTACTTCGTGAAGTTCCAGCACGGACAACATCTCGTCGGTCCACGAAACCCATTCTCTATCCATCTGGTCAGCGTCTCCCTTGAACTTCAGGAGTTTGAACAGTGGGTCCGCCTCTGCTCGAGCCAAGTCTGGTTTACCATTCGAAAGAATTGAAATCGCTTCCATCAACAGTTCCGACATTTTGGTGTCATCGTCATAGGTCATGGAATACTCCTCACCATCATCGAACTGTTCAGGAGAGATCTCCTTTTCTCCACCATTTGCACCAGAACTTCTCCTTGGACCATCCCTTGGGGGCGTCCTTGGAGACCTTGGCCTCTGTTCATCCAGCGGAACACCATGCTCGAAGACACACCTGTCACCATACCGACACTTCCCAGACCGAGCAAACTGGATGCACCTCACACCAGTTGCATCATGCAAAAACGCACAATCCTTTCCAGCGAAACAGTCTCTCCCTGCCACATAGTATTTGCACCAATACGAATGTAGCACCACATCATCTTCTGAATGGATGAATTTGCAGTCTTCACCAAATTTGCAGCAATCTTTCCCCTTGCTGAACCAATAGCAGAAGCCCTTCTTCCTCTTCTCCAAGCGCTCTGCCTCATACCGGTCCATAGGGCGATTGTGCTCTACATGAACATTGCCATGTACCTGGGGACTGCTCCCTTCACCCGACGTGCTATCAGTAGTTGGTGCTTGGAGTACAGCTGGAAAACCTGGCCTTGGTCCTACCACCTTCATGATTGGTTTTCCGCCAACTCCTGAGCCATGCTGAGACGATCCAAAAACATTGAACTTCTTCATGAGGGCTTTCCTAGTGCCGATCTTCTGCACCCTTTTGATTGGACGCTTCATTGTTCCAACCTTGCATCCAGATACGTTCAAACGACACAACCTCCTATACCCAGCTCTAGATCCCTTTTTCCAAAGAGCCATAAGAATTTTAGAGGCAGTAACATTCTCCACCTCTACCTTTTCCAACGATCCCTCACTTCCCGGAACAGACCCCTCCAGCCCATCCATATCTGAAGACCTTTCCATCTTTTTTGACACCACTTCGTCGAGGTAGTCTTCAGAAATCCAGGGTAAGTTCCTCTTAGAGGAAGGATTGTCACCATTGTTTAGTCCTTCACCAGGATAACCTTTTGTGCTGTCAAAGATCTTCCCAGTAGTGCGGTCCTGCGTAGAGAAGTTGGAAGCAACACGAGAGTACACTGACCACAAGAAAATCCTTGTGCCCGCCAGTCTTGACGACCCACTGGATGTCTCCTCTTCTGGAGAGACTTCTGGCGCTTTGCCATCCCTTCCAGTGTCACCAAGTGTCTCACCTCCAGCATCTTCAATGGGAATAAGGGATTCATTGTTCCCTTGATCTAGTACCGCATCTTGTTGATCGGGAATCTCCAGCACCATTCCTGTAGGATCCACTTCTTCATCAGCATCGTCGTCCATTCTGTTCCAGAGAACTTCCAATTGATCAGCGCAAGTCGCTGCCTGGAGGAACTCCATCATTTGGTCCCTCCCGTGCTGCCAGAGAAACTCGGAATTCACCACTGTTCCTTGGCCACCAAGTTTAAGGAATGGAGCGACCAGATTGGCTACCCTTGCCATAAGTTCCACATGAACTTCCATGCCTGGACTGCGACTCCAATCATAGGCTATGGCCTCCATAGCAGTTCCAAACTTTCCAGTATCCCTGAATTCCTTTTCCAGGCCAGGAGAAAGCAGTGCACCCATCACCGAAAGAGGATAATTTCCCACCGCCGGCAAGCACGGATTGTCATGGAACGAATGATGCAAATCACAATAATATCCTTGATCTCTCCTTTCAAAAAGGAGTCTCCCAGTATTCAACTGGGCGTTCAGTTCATCCACTTGAACCATTTCAGCACATATTCTCTGTGCTGTGTACGCCATTGCTGGCCAGATGGAACGATCGGTCAGACCACGACGCATAACCCAATCAGTTGTTGGCGACTGAATCAGCGTCCTTGGATCATACACCAGAACTACCATCGCACCGTCACCCATTGACTGATCAGCATCGTCCTCCAGTGCCAGGTTCTCATCCTGTTCGCTTGCACCCTCGGATGACATGCTAATAACCAAATTTCGATCCATCTTATTGGACCCTTTTTGGCAGTCTCTTTGCCCGACCGGCAACTTGCCAACTGCCACCTTCCAATAAATCCGATTCAGAAGGCCTTTAACCAGCAATTGCTGAAGGTCACTCCTCACCAAACCACCGTCCAAATTCTTCGCATCATCACCACGGAGATCATTGCTCCCACCTTCTCCTTCATTTTGGTCAGTCTCCTCGCCGGGAATTTGCACTGCTCCTTCCAGCGCCGTCTCCTGTCCAGCCACTTCATGCCCAGGAAGAACTTGAGCGCTTTCAGATCCATTCACCTGTCCAGCAACACCTTGCCCAGGTAAAACCTCATCCGTGGAGCCCACCGCCAGCGAACCAACCATAACTGAGCCATCCCTTGCTCTTTTTTGAGACTGTTCAGTTCGACGAGAAGGTTGTGGTAGCGAAAAAACTTGAGAAGTCACTTCTTGGCGGGTCTCCCCCCGCGACGCTTTGTCGCGTTCTTTGCCAAGGTGAACCGATTTTTTCTGCCCGGCATTGGGGCCGGAAGAACCACCCATCGGAACATTGCCACGAATCGCAGTTCTCTGTGAATCCCTTTCTTGCAAAAGAATTTCCCGCATGCGGTGCACAGCATTGGTCTCTTCCTCGCTTGAATCGCTTGAGGAAGCGGCATAAGAAACCAAAGCCTCCGCCTGATCATCATCGTCCACCACATCTGCCCACGCTCTGCTGAACCGATACGACAACCCACCACGAGGCTTCAGTTCCAGTGGTTTTGGTTTCTCCACCACTTCCGCCGGTTGCGCTCGTCGCTGTGAGCGAGAGCGTGGCACCTGTCGCACCTGTTTTTTGTCCAGCAAGGGCCTTCCCCTTTTCACAGGGTTTGATCTTGACCGATATTTTTTTGTTGGTGGATTCACCGGTGGCATTCCAACTCCCACCAACTTCAGCTTCTGTACACACAGCGGAGACCTCTGCGCAAGCGTCCAAGCGTCACGGTACTTGACCTTATCAAAAAGCTCCCGATAGGAGCCTCTCGGCATCGTTTTTGCACCGGAGTCTTCAGCTTCACGCACCTGAGTGAGGGTTCGCACCGCCGCTCTTCCAGTCCCTTTGTTCCCAGAAGATTGTTGTACTCGTACAGATGCATCAGAAGGAACTGCCTTTTCCGGTCCTCCCGGTCGATATCGGACCTCACCCACCAATTGCAGAATTTTGCATGCGGTCACCTTGTTGATCCCTTTGTCAACCAAATCTTCCACAAAGATGAACTCTTGCAAGTCCGACACATTGGTCACACCAAGGGTAATCATCACCTCACTTACATGAGGGGTATACACCCACAGGTGTTGGTTGCGAGCCATCCAATTTTCAATTGGCTCCTCTGGATTGTGAAGCTGAGTGCTAGTAGACGCAGCCACCGAATTCTTTTGTTCGTCAGCCTCTTCTTCATCCAGAATACCCTTTTCACCATCTTTTTGTGACACATTGGTCATCTGCAGCGCTTTTGGTGCCGAGGAGGACGAAGATTCTGCTCCCCCACTTACTGGTGGTTGAAAAGCGTTCCTGTCAGGAATCTCCAATCCCTTTGCCCTTTGAAAGGACACATGGTTTGCCACATTCACCAAATGCTTCAACTGGGCCAGCCGGTCCTCAGACATCTCTTCGTGAGAATACTTGCAGCCAAATCGTACACGACATCTCCCTTTGAGATAGTAGTCGAAACAGCACTGGTGGAACCCCGCGTCCCTTATTGCCCTTCTGGAAGCATTGTCCCAAGATTTGCCAGGCTCCCAAGTCCCTTCCAATGCCACGTCATCGTCGTGGAGAAACCTGCACGCAGTCCCATATTTACAACCACTTTGGTTGTAATACAGACACAGCCGTTTCTTCGTTTCACCCAGCGTAGGCTCACCTTTTGATGTCCCTTTGCCATAGTTGTACTGGGCTCGGAAGGCCGAATCCTCCCGCTCCTGCTGCACCTCATCCACTGTACCTTCATCAGTTGGAGGGCCACCGATGTCCCCATCCTCGTCACCAGTTTTTTGGCTGTTCTTTGGCTCAGTTGGCTCTCCTTCAGGCCACCCTTCACCGTAGCGACGATGTTCATAGGAACACCCATCTCCATTTCGACACCTCCCTTGATTGAAGAACCTGCACAGCTTACTGTATCCAAGTGACACAGTTTTCGGAGTCGTGTGAGCCTTTTTGTACTGATCGGGATCCATATAGGTCTCTATCGGCCTGTTTTCCCTCTTGCTCATCTCCTCGACTGCACCGTCAAGCTCTTGCAGAAATCGCTTGGTGTCCAACCACAGCTCGTTCCAAAGCTCATCTTTTCCCTTGCTCAGCAACATTGCCACCGCTTCACCCACAACTGGTCCACTAAATCTTCTTTTCTTGCGTGCCAGTTCGTAGAGCGCGTCGTGGTACTGCTTCCGAGAAAAAGTGGTTGTTTCTTCCACACCGACACGTTCTTTCTCCTCAGGCTTCCAACCATCACTTAGCAAGATGTTGTATGCGCTCCGAGCCTCATTATTCAGGAATGCATGATCTGCAATACACTCCACAATCACGTCCATTGAACGACTCAGCAACATCCCAGTGATTTTGCCCACATAGTCCTTATTAATTGTTTCATCTTCCAGGAGATTTCGACAGATCTTCTCTCCATAGAGCTGTTTCTGCTCCGCCTCCTCTTGTTCCCTCGAGGATGCCTTTGACTCGGCGAACCACTCACGAGACTGCGGTTCCTCTGACTTCCAGTCCCATTGACCATCAGAACCTTTGTACCATTGACCAGTCTGCCATGAGCCTGTCCACCATGTACCCCAGCCGCTGTCCTTCCATTTGCGCAGCTTTGGCGAGGAATCCTCCTCGTTCTCTTCCAAAACCAGAAAGGTGTCCAAGATTATGGTACCATCATCTTCCACTCGTTTCACTGTTCCATTGACAGTATCACCAAATTGGAACTGATGTACATTGTTCCCTTCTGCAGGAATCAATACATTTAGATCACCATAGTCCAAAAAAGCTCCATACCCATTGATGCAGCGCACTAGACCAGTGATCTTATCTCCCTCTTCATAGCAATGTGTCCCAGGTGATTCCAAGGCTCCCGCTCGGGGCACTCTCTTTGCATGCTCTTCAGAAACCATCTCTGTATCATCGGCTCCTGGCGCATCCTTTGTCTTCACCTTTGGGTCACACTGCTCGTCCTGTTCCACGAGTCCCACAAGCTCATCTTTTTTGTGCTCTTGGATTTCAGGACTTCCCTTTTTCTCTGCCAAAGGCTTTGCCTCATCTGCTTCAGTTCGCTCGGTGTCGACTTCCGGTGAACTTCCAGACGGCAACGCTTCTCCCTTCATGGGAGTGGACCCTTCATTGGTGTCCTTTGTCACACCTTCTGCAGCAGGCAAATCTTCTTCCGCTGCAGGGCGATTGAGTTGATCATCCACGGCAGGCACACTTTCTTCCACCGCAGGCTCCTTTGGTTCCATGGTTTCCAAAGGAGAATTGCCACCATCATTGACCACAGCTGCCTCATTGGCTCCGGTGTAGTCCTTGTCATTTCGTTCCTCGCGGCTAATTTCAGGTTCCACCAGTGCGTCCACCTGTGAACCTCCATCATCAGCTGCTGCGGAGACCTGCGCCCCATTGTTGCAGTCGCCCGTGGAACGTACCACCATATGCACCTCAACCCGTGCCTCATTCGCACTCCAGGTACTATCTGGCGCATCGACCCGCGCTTCATTGGCGCTCCAGGCCTCATCTTTCTTATCAACCGTGTCTCCAGCAGTTTCAGAAGTTTCCTTTTCCCTTTGAATGGCAGATTTCTCGGCACCAAACGAAGAGACCTCCTCAGTCGTAATGCACAACTTTTTCTCTTCGTCATCCAAATCTCCAGGGCCATCTTCCCGAACGACAGGCACCACATCCACCACTCGCTCTTCTGTAGCCGACACAATTCCGATCTCCACATTGGGCATTTTTTCTTCTGGACCCACCGATTCCACCGCTGCCACACCCTCAGAAAGCATCCCCATTTCTTCCCGATCCAGATGTTGAGCTTCAGCGATGTCTGCTCGGTTTCCAGAAATCCCCTCTTCATCTGGAGAACCCGAGGTCGGGGCGTCACCACCACCCCTAGGACCGCTATCCCCGATAGTAGAGGAAAAATCCTTTTCACTTACACTATTTACACCGCTGTTCACACTTTCCATGCTACCCTGCTGTGCCCTAGAAGACTCAGTAGATGATGGAGACGAGGTAGCACCCAGCGTTGGCTCATCTTCCACAGGGACAATGCCCATTCCAACACCTGGCCCCTCGCTATTTCCAGCCATTCCAGTCTTCTTAGGCAACACCCATTGGGTATCACCAGTGTCCAAGCAGTAAAAATATTCTCTCCCATCCTCGTGAAAATGGCGTTCCCATGTCTTCCCATCGCAGTCGACGATTGGAAGGTCAGCAGCCTGAGACGCTTTGCCTCCACCACCAGCGTATAAGTCCTCGTCTGACTCTTGCTGTATTCTTGCTGCCTCCAATTCCAGGATTTCTCCTTCGCTCATCACCATAGCAACAGGAACGACTCCTTCTGCGTCCCCAACAACGAGGATACTGCTTTTTGTCGCAGCAACAGGCGCAGTTTCTTCCACTTCACCTGTCAACAGATCACCACTTTCAGCCGCGAAACTCACCTTGTTGCGAGCTCGCTTGGAAACAGGGATAACATCCCCAACCAGTTCTGTCTGGCACCCTTGCTCCACAATCTTTGACGTAGAGGAGCTTGTTGTTGGCGCTCCCGTTGATTCAGCAGATTCCGCAGCTCGAAGAAGATGCCCATGTTTGCTCAGAAGGCGCAGCAAAACTGCTTCCATCTGGTCTTCCAGTCCTTCCACCACCGGCTTCTCTTCGCCACGCATACCACCAACATCAACCAGAGCTTCCTCATTGGGAACGACTTTTTCACCCGTTGCAGACCTTTTGACACCACCATCACCTTGGTCGCCCACATTGGAGCTTGATGATGCCACCCCAGTCCGTAACCAGTTGGTCGCCATGGCTTCAAGCTTCCACCCTAAAGCCGAAACACAAACCGCAGGGAACCTAATTTGGGCTCATAACCTACGGGGGGAACCCGAAGGGGGACGAGAAACCGAAAAGTCAACCCCAACAGAATCCCTTGATTTCCCTGGATCAACCACACAACAAACCCAAACCACAGGGCACTCACCTTTTACTACCAGGCACATGGCCCAGTCTTGAGCCATAAAAATGATTTCCGGGTTTATTAACCCTTTCAACTTCCAACACTAACTTCTTTCTACAATACCAGTTGCAGCTCCGCACCCTAAACCCTACAGAACATTGCGTAAAGACATCACTTGATGGCCTCCTGCTCCCGGCGGCAGAGGAAGTTCTCAGAGGGCAAGCTGGAGGAGCTCATTGCCGAAGGACGGAGGATCAGAACTTCTGCTTTAGGGTTTAGGGTATAGGGTTTAGGGTTTAGGGTTAAGGGCTTAGGGTTTAGGGTTTGGATCCTCTGTTTGGCCGGCTTACGCGAACGTCTCCAACATCAGCTTGCAGAAGTTCAGAAGCCCCGAAAATTTACCCACGAGGCAGCACGGAGTTATGTAAGCACTGTATTGCCGTGCACATCCCAGCACACTTACTCCACACATACCGAATCAGCTTGGCAGCAGACGAAACCCACAAGAGGTGAAATTCTGACAACGCTGGGAAGAGCAGGGCGAATGACATGGAGATTTGGTTGAAAGAGCTGAGACAACTTGGCAAGCCCAACGGTGAGTTAGCCACATCCTGGAAGCCCTTTGCGCGAGCCATGTTTGATCTTCCGCTAAATCTGTGCTCTGCAGAGAAACGTGGGCCCCCCTGACTTCAACATCCCAAGTGAGCTATCAGCTCGCCCTCCCTACCAAATAGACCCTTTCCATCCGGAAAGTTCATGTGGGGCATATATGTACAAAAGTAGATGCACATGGGTGTCTTTTTCCCTGGAAGGCATGACGAACCTCTGGGATGGGCTTCAAACCGGTCTGACCCCCAGATCGCAGCCGAAAGCCACCTCGGAGCAGTAGGACAGAAGCCCCCGGAGATCTCTCATGGAGAGAGTTACTTCAGCACCCTTCTGCACCTACTGCACCCCCCCCCCCCCAAGATGCAGAAGTGTTGTTTTTTTTAGGCCTTGAAGTGATTGTTCATGAGAAGCCGAGTTGAATGCCTCTGAGGCTTGAATCTTTTGAAGGAGGGTGCGCAAGCTAACCGGCTGCAGCACGCCCGAGCCCCGGAAATCTCTTCTCTTGTACCGTCCATGCGGGACAGAGAAGCAGAGCTGGGCGATTCAGCATCTCTCAGTTGTCAGGGTTTGAAGGTTTGGGGTTGGGGGTTTGGGGTTTAGGGTTTAGGGTTTAGGGTTGAGGGTTTAGAGCCAGTTTAGGTTTAGGGTTTGGGGTTCAGGATGACCAGATAGGCGGCGAGACATGGCACGGAGTTCTGCAGGTAATGCTCTTCACCGATGGGCTGCCCAACATCAATCCTCCCAGAGGCCCTGCGGAGCGTGCTGAGAGCCTGTGGATGTAAAGAAACTTAATGTGCTGACCTGAGGCATCTTGCCAATGCTGAAGCGCCTCAAGGACAAGAGTGAAGGGGGCAGACTGCCAGGGACTCGCCCCATGGATGCTCAGTTTGTTTTTTGTCTCGTTTTGTGTGCATTTTGACCTTTGCATGCATCATTCGAGGCATGACAGATGTTCAGCTTTCGGCAGCTTTCTTTTGCAGGCCCTGCACCATTAGCACTTTCGGCTTTGGCTACGAGCTAGCCCAGCTCTCAGTTTTGTCCACTGGCAAGCAGCCGAGTCACATGGCTCACACCAACTCCATGATTCTTAAATGCTTCAGTGTTCAGCCCTGCTCTTGCAAGCAAGCAGCAAAGATCAGCAAAGGGCTTCAAGCTCAAGCCGCAGCCCCGACAGCCTCTGCGCCTAGGATAGCGCCTTGCTGAGTCAGCTGGCGACTGATGGTGCCGGACCTCAGCCACTTGCACTTTGCAGGCATCTGTGTGTCATCTGCAGGCACCATCCGCCCACCATGAAGCCATGAATTGTGCGTCAATTGTGACGGGATTCCCGGGTCAAGTGTGGTGGGGTACACAAGGAGTGAGGGGCCATCCCACGTGCCTGCAAAGGAGTCTTTTGCGGGCAGCCCAGGACCCGAAAAGGCGAACCTTTTTTGCCCCTTTTCGAAACGATGAACCTGCACGGCCGGAAAGTAAAGTATCGAAAGTGACAGAGCTGGGGGGGGGGTCTCACAAAAGGCACCGAAGTACAGAAAGGAACTTCCATGCTCCACCTTAAAGGAGACATCCAGAGGGTCAAGACAAGACGGTGCCGAAGGGCGCCGAAGCGCCCCTGACCGGACTTCGGCCCGCTGCCGGCAAGGTTTCGGCACCTATGCCTTCATCCCAGATGCGGGTTTCGTGGGCACCGTCTTCGTGAATGCCATGTCCAACTTGCTCGGCACTCAGTCGTCTTTGCCTTCGAGCCTTCAGCTCCGGATCCAAGAAGCTGAGAGGCAAGACTTGGAGAAGATAAGGCTGGTGACCATGGCAAGAGACGTGGTGGTGACCCTGAAGCCTGTCGAAGGTGCCCAGCTGTCTTCTAGAAGCACCCCCTTTTAGTAGCTGAATGAGTATACTTTACACTTTTTTGGGGTACTAACTAAAATCCCCTATAGAACTGAAAGTGCACACTTTTTTTGGGGCTTATGCACTCAGCAACTAGGCCCCCCAAAACGAAAAGCTGCCGGTTTCACAGCCAGGAGCTGCCTTTGCCGAGCCGAAGAGCTTGCTGGGCAGCCATGCAGCCGCTCAGGGGGAGGCTCTGCACCCTATTTGGGGTGCTTATGATAAGGGGGATCCTACTATTTGGGGGGTCTATATTAGGGGCCCCCTTTTTATCGTAAACCCCCCCCATGTGCATCTTTGAGAACAGGGGGAGGGGGACTTTTCCTGACTCGGGTGGCCTTGTGTCGGTCTGCGCCCCAGATTTTCCGCCGGGCCAAGTCGTGAAAAGCTGTGCCCTTGGGAGGCTCTGAGAGTTCATCTTGGCACGCTGCAGTTTGGTCAGGCACCGGAGCAGCGTCACCGTTCATTCCTGGGGTGGGGGGAGGGGGGGGGTTTACGATCTTGGGGGGCACCTTGTTGGGGTCCTTAGTATAAGGGGATCCTACTATTTGGGTCTTTATTGGGGTCCCCCAAAATCGTAAACCCCCTCCTGTCCCAGCTGCAGCGACATACTGCGGAGCTATTCTGCTTTAGTTGCTCTGTCCTTGACATGAGAGGACTTTGTTCAGCATGATGCAGCATGCTGGATCGGAGGTCCACATTGTACTCGTAGTGATACGATCCACCGTCATTTGTAACATGGCTCCTTGTGAAGCGTGGCTTCGAGGGCTGAAGCAGCAGTCAAATTTCCAGCTCGTGGGCATGGCAACCTTTGGATGGTCAGTGGTTTGCCTCATATGCATCGGGTGCTACACGGCCTCTCCCGACAAGTCATCCCTTCCAAGCTTGCTCCTGGTTATGGTGTTCGGCTCATTGATTATGGTGACCGTGATCCGCATTCTCATCAGCGAGCAGTGCAAGCGCCGTAATGAGCATCTGGAGGAGCAGCTTTGCCCTTGTGAAGCGACATGTAGGAGCACAGAAAAGCCTTATTGCTTTTTACCTTGACCATCGAGACGATGCGAGCGCAGTTGTCTTGCCCCGTTTGCAAATGTGCCTTCTTTTTGCGAAGCAAAGCAAGGCCAGGCCAGGCCACGGTACTTCGCTCTCCGCGGAACTATCTGAGGTTGGGCCCTCCGGGGATACTGGGGACTCCTGCGGGCTTCTCTGGAGGTGGGTGCGGGTGTGGGCCACGGGTGGTCACTCTGGGGCCCTTGGGACAAGGCTGGGCAGGACACCGGCCGAGAAGGCCAGGAGGCGAAGGAGCACGGGTGACTTAAAGTTGAACAACACCGAGGGTCGGGAACACCACACAAAAGGCAAGCTCCGAAACATAAGAAGAGCGAAATGTCTACTCTTGGCGCCTCAACGAGCATGCTCTTGTGTGTCCGACTGGAACGACTGTTGCCCTGTCCCTGTTAGGAGCACATTTGGGCCTCTATGTCCTTTGAGCTTGTCGATGCAGTCGCGCCGAAATTTCATCGCATTCAGATCCGCACGGCCGAGACGCCTAAGGGAAAAGTTCAGTCCACAACCTCCGTTCTCGAGGCCTTGGTTGTGAAACCCAGAAAAGTTCCTGAACCATGATCAACATGATGTCGTCCCTGCCCTCGCTCTCGAGGAGGTTCCGGTGCTTTGCCCGCCGAAGTGCAAGCAACACACGTGTGTGTCTTGCCTGGAGGACCTCTGTTCGTGCCCGCAGTTCATTGTAATGCCCTGAAGCCTCTAACACCCTTCAAACTTCTTGACAATGAATGTTACTATTCCCAAAACCTTGACACAGGACTTCAATCGTGAGGACAAGGTGTCGATATTGCCATGCGGCCACATATTCCATGAAAGCTGTCATGTAGATTGGCATCTTCACAAGCAATCGTGCGGCAGCGCCTGTCCAATCTGCCGTGACAGCTGGGCAATCGTCTGAATACTACAAACAATCTACAAACAGCTCCACATGCGAATGATTGCTCGTAAGGCGTGTACTTCGCAGACAACATACTGTTGCAAGATGTTGCAAGAGTTGAATTTGAATGTCCATTTGAATTGTTTCAAGTTGATCCCAGTTGGGCTGTCCCAGCTCAAAGAGCCACAGCAGTCCTTTGCGTGGTGTCATTTTGGACCCTCGCCGAAGCTTTTGGGTCTGAAGCATGCCCAGTACTGACAACACTGACGTGCCGCCTGCATCTCTGTCCTGGTGTTCCCTAGATTCATTGTGTTTGATGCTGTTATACGCTGTCTTTAGCCCCGTTGTGCAACGGCAAGTTGCAGGCATTGTGGGAGGACTTCCACCTGCAGAGACTTCCACAGTTTGTTTAGCTTTCACGCCCTCAAGGGAGGGCAAGAAGCGCTAAATTTTAAACTCTCTTGCATTGGACAAGCCGGTGGCCTGTTTCGCATAGGGTTTATGTTTCGGAGGCATACTACTTGTATCTCAGGAACCGTTTACTTGTCTCAAAAACCACTTCATCATGTTCAGGAACTATCTGACATCCTTGGTCCGTGATTTTGTCCAAAGTTTGCGACTCGAGGTTGGAACGGTTCGGAACGGTTCGGAACGGTTTGGAACGGTTTGGAACGGTTCGGAAAGGTTTCGGAACGAAAACCTGCAAATAGTTTGCATAGCCATGTTTCTGCAACGGATAAACAGCCCACCGGGTAGCCCAACTCTTGTATCTTGAGGACTTCCACCTGCAGAGACTTCCACAGTTTGTTTAGCTTTCACGCCCTCAAGGGAGGGCAAGAAGCGCTAAATTTTAAACTCTCCTGCATTGGACAAGCCGGTGGCCTGTTTCGCATAGGGTTTATGTTTCGGAGGCATACTACTTGTATCTCAGGAACCGTTTACTTGTCTCAAAAACCACTTCATCATGTTCAGGAACTATCTGACATCCTTGGTCCGTGATTTTGTCCAAAGTTTGCGACTCGAGGTTGGAACGGTTCGGAACGGTTCGGAACGGTTTGGAACGGTTTGGAACGGTTCGGAAAGGTTTCGGAACGAAAACCTGCAAATAGTTTGCATAGCCATGTTTCTGCAACGGATAAACAGCCCACCGGGTAGCCCAACTCTTGTATCTTGCCCTTTGTGAAGCAAAAATGGCCAACTGCGCACGTTCGCTATGCATGCAGCTGTGTTGGGTTCAGTCCGTCAGCACTGGGGCGAGGCGCATGATTAACGTTCGTGTGGTCACGGCGTTGATACCGACCACGTCGGATTGCAGGCTAAAGACCTCGTTGTGCTCATGCGAGGCTCAGGCATGGAACGCACCGGGTGCAGGGATTACTGAGTAAGGCAACTCGAATACCATGATGACAGAGTGAAAACAGACTAGGTTTGGAGGATAAATGACGCGGTTTAACCATCAAACAGCTATGAACACGTGGTTCGCCCCGCTCTCAGCCGCAGGCGAACGGCTGGTCGAAGCAACCGTGGAGTGCGCTTTGAGAAAACCTCTGCGTCGGTGTTGCTTCAAGCCACATAATAGTAGTAGTAATAATACTATCATGACCATTATATTATTATTATTATTATTATTATTGTTTCTATTACTATTAATAATATTAATGCTAACAATGATACATTAAGAATTTGTTGGTATCGGTCCATTTTCCTGAAGGGGCCTGGCAGAGCACAGGTACACGACCAGGGCTGGACCAGGACCACCTCTGGCAGCTGCAGGCCCTTGACCACAGCTTATGAGGGATATGTCTCAGGACCGATGCCCAGGATGAATTTGGGCAAACGAGCAAGCTAGTATGGTATTGTGGCAATCAGATTTTGTGGTAGCGCAGTGCTATTGAGCTAAGAGGTCACAGTATCTGTATGCTCTTCCCCACCATGACAGACCACCGTCATGAAGCGAGGCGAACCCTCAAGATCGTACGTTTGGGAAGAAGGAATTGAAACAGGAGCAACACTTCCAGACATCCCCCCCCCCTCCCCTGCCTCCCCCCCCCTCTCCCCCCTTCCTCCCGTCCCCCCCACCCCCTCCACCTCCCCCATGCTGGGACTCTCGGGTTGGGCACCCTGGGCATTCTGGGGCTAGGCGAGTAGACCGGGCGAGGAGAAGTAGACCCGGCGAGGAGAAGAGTTGAATTTAAAATGTAAAGAACCCCACACCGAGGGTGGGGAAAAACAAGCAAAACAAATGTGGGAGCCGTCCTGCCCTTTTCGGACAGAAATAAGGATACTTCGTCGCAGTGTTCTGTCGGGACACTCGTCAGAGGATTGGCTGCAGGATACTTGCTCGGAAGGGTTCTCTGCGGGATTTTCTGGGGACTTCAGGAGTATTTGCCGGGATTGTCTGTGGGACTGTGAGCGGGATCTTCGGGCCAGAAGACCGGGCAAGCCGTATGGCGAACGGCTGGCTTAGAATCTCCGAACCGAGGTTGGGAAATTTTTTTCAGGATTAGTTGGGGGCCAAAATCAACCAAGAACAGCTGAGCGCACCATGCTGCGAACAAACACACGCACACAAACAGACATACATATATACATATCTATATGTACACACACACACACACACGCACGACGCTGAAACCAAAGTAGGTAACCCCGAAACAGTGTGACAACGCGTTTAGAAGGTTGCACTCTCGCCTGGGTCACATGTGCATGCTTGACGTGAAGTGCGGACCGGTGTTTTGGGCAACTTGACTTGTTGTGCTGGTTTGTTGGCTGTATTTGGTGATATTGTCTCATCTTGCCCATGTCACGAAAGCTCCTCCGTGGAGAGCTGTCGGGGGGTGTGGGGGGGGCGGGGGGGTTGGTGAAAAAATCGCGGCTCCGGCTCGGGTTCCCCCACCCAATTTCGATCCCAGGGCGGTTGCCCAAAACGGTTTTTTGGAGCATTTTGCGGGTCCTCGGTGTGGTCTCGTTTTTGTGCCTTTCTGAGGAGAAGCGGGACCGGGCTAATGCTGCTGATGCTCGCCGGGCGGCGTGCTTGGCGGCACTGCCGGGGGTCGCCTAAAGCCTACATCTGCTTGTTCTGAACGCCTCTCGGAGTCTAGGCAAAGACTGGCACTTTCGTGGGGCCCGCATCGCGGAGCCTTCGTTTCTGCCCGTGGCTATCAAGTTGTCCCAGTGGCCGTTGTCTTCATCAGATGTTTCAGCTTGTTGGCCGCTTGGCCATGACTCTACTTCTTGCCTGTGTACGTACGCTCTGTTCAAAAGCCCTCTGACTCCATGCCACTCGTGCCTATGCCAGCAAGCAGTTGTCAGAAGCTGCACAGGCGGCGCCGATCCCGCTCTGGCCCGGAGCTGAGTGCCCAACTCTGCTCTACCCGACTCTGCTCTACTCAACTCTGCTGTACCCGACTAAACCCTAAACCCTAAACCCTAAACCCTAAACCCTAAACCCTAAACCCTAAACCCTAAACCCTAAACCCTAAACCTTAACTCTCTGCTTCGTCTTGGCTGAAGAAGTGCTCTCTCAGAACAAGGTTGAGCTGCACCGGCTTCGGTTGAAGGGCGTGGACTGCATCCAGCAGGTCATCCTGTTCTCTCAATGCCGATGTACAGATGCAATCACAGCATCCACACATGCGAATCATACAGAAGCGGGCTTGAGACGTGTTGAGAACTCTAGGGTTTTTAGCAGGTCCCTCTCAACATTCCTAGACCTTTCAGCGTGGTGAAGAACTCTGCGAGGCCATGGCTTCATTGAAGCTCACAGCCATGGACCGAGCGAACGGCCGAAGCCTCAGTGACCCAGAATTTTGCTCACGGTCAGCAGTCGGTAATCGTCTGTATCAGGAACACGCCGTGATGCCTCCGAATATTTCAGAATCGACGGTGGCTCAGCATCAGCTTCGCCCTGCGAGGCAAAGCTTTGCCCCTGGAGGAGGCTTCCAGGATCATTCAGGCCTGGAGAGTGTCAGTCGAGGCAACGGCATACATACTCACCACTACTCCCCAAGGCTCCCTAAGCTTCCCTAAGGTTCCCAGGTACCTACCCCACTTGAGAACCCCTCCCTTAAGAACCCAAAAAAAGCGTGGAGGCAAGTTTGCCCATGGCTTCTTGCCAGGCCATGATTTCGGAGATCTCATCCTCCTCAGCCGGCGATGCTCCGCACCTGGACGTGCTCCAAAGTGCCCAGAGTTTCTCCTAAGCATCATGAGCCAGGAGCCACCCAAGGCGTCCTTAGGAAGCGTGAGCTTTGCCAACGAAGCCATCTCTTGCTATGTGCGCGCACTGTGAGTCCAGTACGCAAAGCCGGAAACCTAATCCTTCAGGGCAGGGTTCCAAATCTCACAATCGGTAGAGGCCGCGCATCGAGAGGCCCTAATGCCCAGGGCTGGGGAGGTGGAGACTGGGGTGCTATTGATGGTTTCAGGGAGTGAGGTTTGGCTCGGGATTGACTTGCTGATTGGAGATTGGAGACTAGCTTGGCCTGCGGGCGTGTGCCTGCAGCAAACCAGTGAATCCCCGCTCGGCCGAAGCCGAAGCAGGGTTCATTGCTTCCAGTTGCCATCGTCAACTCGCAATGCTTTGAAATCTCAATGCTGGCCATCGCAAAATATCACAACCGTACCACTGGCAGAGTTGGTCAAAAGGTGCGCACTTGCGAACCTCCTTTGCTGGACTAAAGGCGTCGAACGTATATGGAGACGGTTCGATAAAGTTGGAGTCCCTTTGCAGCTTTTCAAACCCACCCCTCTCCAAAAGGAAGCCATCTATCAAGAGCTATATGCACCGGCACGAACGAGGAACGTAAAGACACCACCATGTTTTGTGATGGAAACCCTAAACCCTAAACCCCAAACCCTAAACCCTAAACCCTAAACCCCAAACCCTAAACCCTAAACCCGCCTTTTTTTATGTTACAGAGAGATCGGGGGCCAGCGCCAAGGCTGAAGCAGCGAAGGGCCTCCGGGAGGACTTCGAGGGTCAGGCCCAGGGAGGTTGCACTTTAAGACTTTTGTGCTGAAGTCCTGTAAGCCCCAAGCCCGCCTGTTGAAGCCCACAGTGAGACCTACAATAAACGCAAAAAGCCCTACAGGAATGCCAGCCCAGAGCCCGGTAAGCTCCCATCCCTATGAAGCCCACCCTGAGAGCCCGGACCCTTGAGGTGTCTGAAGCGATCTCCCGAGAAGACTGGTACCAGAAGTGGGGTGCCTTTGCCGCGCTTGGAGCAGGATATAGGGCTTGTTCAAAAGTCGGGCTCCTGTCGGGGGACGTTTATCAGGCATTCCAAAATCAGGTACCTTCAAAGCAGCCACTGCGGTAATATTGGGCCACCCGTACATGTAACACACCTGCCCCGCACGTCGCGCACTTCTGCACTTCGCGCCCGTGCGAGGCATTCACTACCTGCCGTCTCTGATGTCTGCACATTTGGCCCAGCAGTGTCGCTCCCCCGGCATCGGGGCCGACGGCAGTTCGAGTGAAACCCTAAACCGTAAACCCGAAACCCTAAACCCTAAACCCCACAGCCGTGATGAGCACGAGACTAGTCGGGGCTTGTTGTCTCCGAATGGGAAAGAGGCAAGGGCTTCTGCAGCAACCCGTCGATCCAGGCAACAACTTTAAGGACGCCGGGGTTCAGAGCTACGGCGGCGAGCTATTTCAGAACATTCGGGATGCAGGCAAGTGCTTGCCAGTTTCGCTTTACGATCGCCAGTCGCAATTGCGCTGCACTTCTACAATATCTGGCTGACTTCAATCGCACACTGCGTTGCAGCTGACGACGTCTTCCTGTCGCTCCCACCGCCGCAGCCGACGGCTAGGCCTCTTGTGCTTGTGAGTCATCCCACCAGCTTCTTCATGCTTCTTTCCTGGAGGGGGTATTTTGAATCTGGGGTCCTGTTGTGGGCATTCTAGAACAGCCCGTCCTTTGACCCAGCCTTCGGTTCTGGACACGCAGTGACGTCTGCAGGCCACAGGCAGCACAAGCCGCCCCAACAGCCAGCCGAGTGCGAAGTCCTTACGGCCACGTGCTGTATGCCATTTCTGGACACCTGTTGCCTGTGGGCGGTGGTACACACTGCGTGATGTCTAAGGACATGATCCAAGCTTGTAAACGACAGTGAAGACTCATCCTGAGTGTATTTCAGGTCTGCTCCGGTTGCACGCGCTGCGCCCGTCGACATGCATGCGTCCTGATCCAAGAGGCATGCTTAGCGGGGCTTGCAGCACGTGGTACTGCTGGTGGTCCTCAGCTTCGCAGCCGGCACGAGAGGGTTGAGCAGGGGTGACTTGACCGAGGTACTATGACCCCTATGGTGGCTAGCTGAGCCCTCGGTTTGCCCACGAGCTGTGACTCTTGTGCAGATGCTGCAGCGCGTGGATCGCGTAGATACGACTTGAGGATGACTCCTAACGTGTCTGCTGTACGCGCATGAAGCATGCATGATACCGAAACAGGATTCAGACGTTGTCGAAATGGGTGTTTCGGAAATTAGGGGGGTACCTCTCATTACAAGGGGATCCTACTATATGGGGGTCTGTTTTAGGGTCCCTTCTGATCGTAATCCCCCAAATCTCACATCCTGAGGTTCAGGGACAGAAGAGCACTGGCAGATGCCCAGCTTGCATTCTGTCCAGGATGAGCTGGTGAGCAGCTAGTGCTTTCACTCTGACACCCTCTCATCATTTCAGTTTAAGCATCTGTACTCTGTTGGTACAGTCGCAGGCATGATGCGGGCAGAAAAAGCATTCAAAGCTTCAGTTCCAAAGCTCAGCATGTAGACAGATCAGATCGGCCAGTGTCTTCCCCTTCCTAGTGCAGGTCTTTCTGGTGGAGCGGATTGATGCGGACAGCTTCGCATCTCAGGACCTGCAAGCCTGCACCAAGAGAGTCTCAGAACATGGCAAGGAAGCTGTCACGGCAACAGGGCTGGTTAGTCTATCGAGCCATGGACCCGTCGCAGATTGCATACCTGTGGCTTGTGTGGATGTTGCGAATCCCACAGCAGGGCCGTAAAACGTCTTGGCCCTATGGAGCTTTCATCGCGTTCCTTGAACTAGATGAGCAGCGGTCCACTACGGTGATGCTGGAAGCTCAGCGATGTCCTTGCAGAGTTCCTGGGCCTTCGTGCAAAGGCTCCTCCCATTGAGAACAGCCGGGGCAATTTCGTACAGAAATAAATACAGGCAGCTAGGCGATCGGCTCGCTCGGGTAAGTGCCTCGCCATTGGACCCTGTGACTCCTCATGGCTGAGATGGCCCGTCCCTCCCTCTCGGCACCCAGCTGCCACCCAACCCTACATTTCTTTCTCCTAGCCTGTGTCTTTCCTTCTCTGCAAGGCCATGCGCCCAACCTCCGATCCGACAGAAATAACCGCATAAGTGTCGCCTTTGGCCTCGCAGTGCCTTACAGTTCCGCAGTACACAATGTCGGCGACACTATCGACACCTTCCTTCGCCAGACTCACATGGGCTAGTGTGCCATAAAGCCGTGTGTTGAGCGTGTTGTGCGTGCGTGCATGCGTGCGTGCGTGCGTGCGTGGGTGCGTGGGTGTGTGTGTGTGTGTGTGCAGCGCTCTCACATGTCTTGCCATGTGTGGGCTCTCGAAGGACAAGATGCGGCACATGAATGCTGTGTGCTTCCTCAGGCCGTCGTCACCTCATGCCGCCATGCCCTAGCCTTTCCTACGTAGGGGCAGTTTCTAGGCCGTTTGGGCCCACGCGAGCCTCTTCGCATGTCGCATGTGCAGGCCGACCAACAAGAATTTTTTGAAGCTCTCCCAGGAGCTGAAGAATCCAAAATACAACGAGGACTGGTCAGCACTTGACGCGACACTGTGACTCGACAAGGTTCACAAGCTTGGAGGGACTTGAAGTAGGAACAGTAGGAACAGTAGGAACATGCAAGTCGAAATGTCACGTCAGTGCAGTATCACCTCTTCTTCACCAACGTCGTCCCTCACATGCGGCTTGAGCCGCTCGCGTGCTGCGATGAGTACGAGGTTGTGAAGCAGGTGCATGGATTATCAGGGGTTGCAGGGCCAGACAGTGCGCCAACTCGGCTCAAGCGCACGTGTCTGCTGTGTGTTCGCCGTTGCACTGCAGCGACCCCTCTGTAAGCATCCTGTCGTCGAAAGCCCTACTTTGCGAAACACGCCCAAGGTTCTTTTCACAGTGTTACGGTTGCTAGGTTGCTGTGACCATCCTGGAGCTATGACTGGATACCACATTGGGATATGGGGGATGCGGCAGGTGCAGGAGTTCTTTGCCGATGTCTATGCGGCCAGGCTCTGAGTGTGTTAAGCAGAGGCTCAGGATCCTGTTTAGAGGCTTGGCCTTTGTCGTTCTTGCGCTCGTCCACGAGGTCAACCATGACCTTTTCTCTCTGAACTTGCAGTCGACAGTCCGGCTGACAGAGGACGCGGGGCTGGAAATCCTTGAAGCACAGAGCTGCTTGAGGCACAGCTCCCAAATGTGCTGTAAATGAAAGTCTTGACGAGCGCATGGAGGCAGATTCCAATGGCAGAGGCTTGCACTTCGCATGCAGCATCTTCCAAAAAGTTGGATGTAGAGGGTACAGCCAGGTACAGTGCACGAGACCAGCATGAAAAGACCCGCGTCAAATGTGCCTCGAGGATCCTGGCAGATGGACATCGTACGAAGAGAGCATCTTTGAGCGAATCATCGAGGCAACTTCGTGGCTGTTTTTTTTTTCCGAAGCAAACAGCAGAATTCAGTGGGGTATCCTTTGATCGGGTCAGGGGCTTCTCGCAACTTGCCTGACTTTGCGGATGCTTCCTGCAATCCGATATACAGACTCGCCTGACGCTGAGGGCCGGACTGGGCTGTAGAGTATGTAAATGGGAGAGCCGGAGCATAGAGAAAAACATCGCAGACGCATGGGCTTGGCTTCGCTTCTGGCCGGGCAGTCGTTGCGGAGCTTGTTGAGGTATTGCTGTTGTTCTGATTGACGGTCTCGCGTGAAACCTAGGTTTAGCACAGAAACCCTATCATGCCCTCCCTGCAAGGTGTTTGACATGCCTTTCAATGCATGATGTCAATGAAGCCCAGGTGTGATCTCACGCGGCAGATAGCGCACAGACTTCAGGCCGGCTCTACCTTGCTGCCAGTGCTCTCAAGTGTGCGGTCTTCCGTGCCTTGCGCGGAAACCGTGTTCGGCGTTCGGGAGATTCGGAGACTGTCCGGCCGCTTTTGCGCTACAGTAGTCTGCCTGGAAGCGAGGGCTTGGAAAAAATTGCTTTGCCGCCCTGATGCTGTGATGTTTTACCTCTGCCAGACACGCATCCACGAAGAGCAGAGCCTCTTCGAAGCCATTGTAAAGGCCCAGAAAGGCGAGGCCACACCAGCTGCGGACTTAGGTCTTACAAAGCTCCTTGTTTGTGGTGGACGTTTTTAGTCAGCTGCTTGCTCGAGGTCCTGCTGCTTTTCGACCGCAGGCATGACAAATCATCAGGACCTCTTTGCGAGGGATGCTTCTGCCCCGATCTGTTCCGCCAGGAATGATCCTGTCACGCCTTTGCTGCAGCAGTGGACCTATCAGGCCACTGCTGGTATTCGCAACATTGATTTTTGAGTTGCCCCTTCTTTTCAGAATTTCAGGCGATGGTTCATGAGCTCCTGGGCATGCACAACAACATTGTGGACCTGAAGAAGGCAACCAGCGCACGGTGGGTGGGGAGGATGCTAGAGACTCCCCCCCCCCCATCCCCGTGAGATCCTGTGAGTGCCGCGTGGGCTCATGCTCGTCAATGTTGGCAATAGCTCCTGGCAGTGAAACATGTCCATATTACGTCTGGTTTCAGGAGTTCGCGCACGCAACAATCTTAACATCACCAAAACATGGGGGAGTGTGGAATATGAAGCCTATCTGAAACCGGCACAAGTTGAACGGGCCTTGAGGTGCAGAAGGATGCGAGGCCTGAGCTGGAGAGGATCGTCATGTCGCCGCTTCAGGCACGGTGACTTTTGCGAACTGAGGTATAGCCCTAAACCCTAAACCCGAAACCCTAAACCGTAGTCACTGCAGCTTTTGCGCAAAGACGAGGACGAGTTCTTTTTGACGAACTTGTACTCCAACTTTGGCGACTTGGGGCAGAACACCCGGAACCTGGTTGGATACTCGGGCCAAGCGCTCTAGCACCATGACTCATCTTGGCAAATCCCGTCAGCTTTCGAGGTTGAGAAGTACCAAAAGGAAACAAAGAACACGGCCCGCATTGAGTCAATCGAGGACTGCCTGGCACATTTTGTTGTGAAGTCACGATTACAGTAGTATTTTAATGTTAGTGTTATGGTATTTTTAATATGATCAATATTGTTATTCTTATTATTGTTAATATTGTGAAGACTATGAATACTATGACGAGTATTGTGAATATTATGAATATTATGAATATTAACAATATTAATCATATTATTCATGTCAATATTATTACCGTTTTTTGATATTATCAGACTGCTTTGACGCCCGTGCCATCTCTCTGGCCATCCCTCGAGGAGATGCAGCGGTTTGTGGATGAGTATCCGGAGTTCCGGCGCATGTCAGGAGCGGGGTTTAGGGTTTAGGGTTTAGGTTGTAGGGTTTAGGGGGGCTCAGTTCCCTGTTTCTTTTGCTTGCTGTGACTCTTCCGTACAGTATCCTCTGTATCACTTCCTTCCTGCAAAGGCAATGTTTCCAAACACGTCAACGTGGTCAGCGAGCTGCAGCACCCTCAACGCTGCGACATCTCAACCATCCACCTTCAAGTGTTCAGGTCGCATCTGGGAAGAATCGTAGCATTGCCGCTGCCAGGTCTCGAATCATTGATGCCTATGGGCTCCTCGAGGCGTGGCCAAATACCACACAGACAAAATTCAGGAAACAACCGTGTCTTTATTCCTGGTTCTATTGTTGTGGTTCTTTCTATGATGTAAAAATAAGTGTCCATTCGGCCATCCACTGCCTTGCAGGTGCAAAGGAGACGAGTCAAATTGTCAACACGTTTCTTCCCTAAGCCTCACGTGGTTTCATGGCGTAGGAAGGGCTTTGCGGAACGCTCACTGCAGAAACGCATGTCTAACGACACTTGTGACCATATGCAGAGCTCTGGCTTACAGCATCAAGAGCTTCCGTTTGGAGGCCATCATGGCCGCCCATCTGCAGTTCCGGAATTAAAACGCTGACATCATATGCATGACTGGGGATGTTCCCCCTTATACTAACGGTCCTTCATCGGGATTTTAATAGGGGGTACGATAATCCCTATGAATCATTGTTAGGATAAGGGGGAACATCCCAATGCATACATGGTCTGCGAGCACTTCCGGAGCCTTCGTGAATCGAGGACCGCGTGAAAGGATGCCAGACGACGAAGCAGATATTGAAGGCCTGCCCACGCTTTGATCATCACTCCAAGCAAGTAGGTTTTATTTTTTACGTTAAGTTAAACAAAACCTAGGTACCAGAGATGCCTGTTGCAACAGGTTGGATTGCCGGAACCGGTGGTGAGAGTTGGTGACACAGTATGTGTTCATGCGACAAGCAGCTTGGCTGACCTTGATCTAGGGACCATTTATTGTGTCCAGTTTGCGCGGCTTTTCTGCTTGATGCCTTTTTCAGGCCTTCTTGTGCCCTTGTTGGGATTTTGATCTTTGATCATCGCCCCTTTCCTGTCCTACAAGCACTTCAAACGTAATTGAGTTATGTTGTCCTTGTTTGTCGCAATGTTATTCCGTAGAAAGGCACCAGCAAGGCAGGTTGCCTTCCGAATTGTCGGCAGACCTGCAAGTCTGAGCAATCTGTCAGTTTCATTCTGTAGTTTTGGGATTGTGCATCATGATGTGGTGGGCATGTGACATGCGGTCTGTTCCTGCGCCCATGTCCCTTGGTTGCGGTCCAAAAGGACGTCTTTCGCGGTTCTGCTTGTCTTGCACCCTACCAGTACATCCATGTATCCAGTTGCTTCTGTTGCTGCCTCAAAGTGATTGGTACTGTACCATAGCACGCTGCCCACATACACATAAGAGACATGCCACATCCTTAAGCATGAAGATTCCTTTGCGCAGCTGAGGTGCTGTCGCAGGAACCGGCAAGAAGTTCTGGAGTTCGAAAGACACACATCGGCCCATCAGCTACGAGGCTTGAGGCATGTGCTCTGCTCCACCTTTGGCTTGCAAGATTGCAGAAAAACTGGGCGTTTACGCTTCTAGGGGGACCCCGAATATTAGACCCCCAAATAGTAGGATCCCCTTCCAATAAGGACCCCAAATAAGGTAGCCCTCATATCCGAAAACCCTAAACCCTGAACCCTAAACCCTAAACCCTAAACCCTAAACCCTAGACCCCCCAAAATCTGTCCCTGTTTGGGCCCGCAGGTTGGCCTTGGCCTCGTCTTTCCTGGCTGGGACCTGGGCACGGTTGGCATGACACCAGGTGGGGTTTAGGGTTTAGGAGTTTGGAGTTTAGGGTTTAGGGGTTTAGGGTTTAGGGTTTAGGGTTTAGAGTTTAGGGTTTAGGGTTTAGGGTTTAGGGTTTAGGGTTTAGGGGAAGCCCAGGCTGCAGTGCCCTCTGAAGTCTCCTAACTGTGGCCCGAAAAAGGCCCAAGTGCGGCCATGGCACCTCATGTGAAGCAGGTTTTATATTACTGTTATTGGTGAGTGTATATAAGGTTCCTTTTTACGACGGGTGAGTGTATATACCGGGTGCCCTTTTGGGGGTACAAGAAATATATACCCTACTTCATGTCTACAACCTCTCTCCCCTCTCCGAGCTCCCTAGGACCTTAGGGATTCTCGGCGGAATTCTCGGCAGTGGGAGTGACTGGGCAGGGGTCTTTGAGGTGTGTGCACCCCAGGGGTACTCAGCAGGATTCTCGGGGGGGCGAGCTTTCGATATTCGGCGGCATTCTCTGAAACTCTCTGGTGATTGGGCAGTCCAGGGGTATTCGATGGGGTTTCTCGGCGGGATTCTGCGAGGGCGGGGCACTCCCGGCATACTCGGCGAGGGTGGGCGCTGTAGGGATGCCCGGCAGAATTCTCTGCAGGATGCTCTGGAAGGGCATCCCCAACTGCGCACGGTTTACCATGCGGTGTCCGTGCGTGGGCAAGAACCGTGGAGAATAGCCCACTCTCACCAAGGGATGCGATTGGCAGAAAGCAACAACATAGTGCCCCCCCCCCCCCCCGAAACCCCCAAACCCAAAACCCTAAACCCTAAACCCTAAACCCCGCTAACTTTCGTTGGCCTGGCCCGGCCCCTGAAGCTCCATGAGTCGGCTTTCGCAATGGCTGACGAAGACTTGAGGCCCACTTTCACAGTTGTCGTTGCAGGCAATTCAGAGATACTAAAACCTAAACCCCTAAACCCCTAAACCCCTAAACCCCTAAACCCATGCGTCCAGAATTGCCAGGTGAACATCGCCGCTTGCTGGTCCCGCCTTCTGAAGCTTATGGACCCAAGCACTTTGCAGCCTGGGGTGGCCAAGCTGCACTTGACGCCTTTGGGTTTAGGGTGTAGGGTTTAGGGTGTAGGGTTTAGGGTTTAGGGTTTAGGGCAAGCACTCCTGCTTCGTCTTGCACATGTAGCCTGAAGAAAATTTGACAGCTGTCGGTGCACGAGGTCTGCCACCCAATGCAACGTTGGAGGTCACCTTAGAGTGCCTGGAAGTGAAACCCATGGAGCACAAAACAGAGGGCTCCGAAGGCGAAGCCGAAGCCGAAGGCGAAGGCGAAGGCCAAGGTTGAGGCCAAAGGACCTCGCGACTCCGAACTGGGCCACTTCATGTCACTTCCCCTCAACATCTCTTCGCTCTCGAGCAACTCCAACAAGTGGGGGATCGACCAGGCACCGATTGCAAGGTCAAGTCAGCTTTGCCGTGCCTTGGTCTTCTCATCGTCTTCCGACACGCGGAAGTGGTACACGCACGTACACCGAAGATGATGAGCAAGCTTTGCTTAACCTGGACTCCAGGTCAAATGGCCAAGAGCAGAACCTGTGCACAGGTGATGTGCCCGGCACACACCAACCAAGGACAAGAATGCAGATGTAGGGGTTTGCTTGTTTCACTGTGACTCCGTCATGCTGAGAAGACAAAAAGGCAAGATCGCTGAAGCTGCTCCTGCTAGCTTCAGTGGTATTCAGTCACGGCGTTGCTGGCACAAGGGGGCTTTCGAATGTAGGAGTACCTTGTTGGGGTCCTTATTCTAAAGGGAATCCTAGTATTTGGGGGAGTATATTAGGGGTCCCTTATCTTCATAAACCCCAAGAACAGCCAGGCCTCGCAGCTGGAGCAGGAACTGGCATGCTCGGAGAACCAGAAGGCCTGGTGACAATCTTAACTTCGTAACAAGTAGTCGGCTTTCCCCGACCGTGCCATCTCATGATCTCCTGAGCATTTGACCCTGTGCTCGTTTCCTGGCTCCAACTTTGTTTTCAATGTATTCAGGAGCACTACAAATCGCTGGTGGATTTGTTGAAGATGGCGAAGATCACTCCAATGGCGCGCTTCAGCAGTGCTTGACACGCCTGGAACATCCGAATTCAGCAGTGCTTGACACGCCTGGAGCATCCGATTTGCCTGAGAGTCGGAAGAGCAAAGCTTGAGACTTCACAACAGCAACGGTTGAGAAGTAGCTGCATTGTCCCAGGAAGGTCTTCGCCTTGTGCTGCTCTTTGCGCTCAGGCGCGAACCAGCTTAAGACACTTCAAGAATTTGCAGGAAGCGTAATGGAGGCTGTGCCAGAGTTGCTTTGCACGTGCAGGTACGAGCATGAGTACAACTCCATTGCGCAGCTCAAGGTTCGTTCCGTAGAGTGGTAGACGTCTTTTTTGCATTTCAGGCAGGTCTGACGATTTGCTTGCTAGACAGCGGCTTTACCTCAGCGTTTCGACGGTTAAATCGCCTTGCTGGTAGTCGATGCCTGGGTGCTTTCAAAGTTTTGCTGCTTTTTGTGATTGCTTGCCTTGCTAGACACTCGTCTGGCGCACGCGTCTGCGTCCAGCCGTCCTTGCAAGCGTTCTGAGCTCTCCTGAGGACCAGCTGCGGCAAAAAGGCGTTGGAGATGACCAAATAGGCACGTTGATGCATCTGCGAGTTCATTGGGTTTGAAAGTTTCGTAGCGAACTTGGAGATCCAGAAGATGCAACAAGAGGAATTCGACTCTCCATAGGCCGGAGTTCGAAGTATTCGAAGTCCGCACGTGAAACACCATGGATGTCTCTGGAAAAGGCGTGGGAAACAGAGCATTTTGTGATTGGATTGCTGAACCTCGCCCTGTCTCGAAAGCCAAACCGATGACAACCTGCACGCAAAAGAATTGCCTTTGGGATGTTCCCCCTTTTCCTGACAGTCCTTATGAGGGACTACAATAGGGGTATTATGGTCTCTGTTAAGGAGTGTTAGTATAAGGGGGAACATCCCAACACTGCCTTCAAAATCTTTCAAAGTATATTGAGGATGGCAAAACCCGAGCCTTGACTTGGGAGGCCTTGTGGACCAGCTGTTGCGCTACGCGGGCTCGCTGCGCACTCGGAGGGTGTCCAGCTGCGCCAAGCTGTATCTCCGGCTGGCAAGACGATTGCATTGATCCACGGGGCGGATTGACATGAATGAGGCAAGTGCGGAACAGCGACTTGTTTCAGAACAAGAGCTTCTTACAACTAGCAGGGCGCTTGACGCATTGTATGAGTTTGCTTTTGTTGCTGTCGTACGATGTTTTTTTTGGTTTATCCTGGCATGCGATGGCATATCTGTGAGCTCTCTTACTCGTGCAATCTCGTACCATGTCATTCGTTGGGCTGAGGCAAAGAACGTTGTCACCAGCAGCTTCAAAGGTGTGGAGAACGCTTGGAGCTTGAACCAGAGCAGGTAAGGACTGAGTTTCGAAACCACCCAAAGACCCCACAATGCAAGGACGCATAAGGACGCTTTCCGCTTTCATGTATAAGCGCCTGTGTGAGAGAGCTCCGAAGACCGGCCTAAGGTCTACACCCAGCACAAGAGCCATGTGGCCAGCGTCGTTAGCTCCCTGATGAAGGGCCAGCTGAAGGAGGCTGGCGCTTCAAGGGCCATAGCTGCTGCAACTCTGCCTTTGCTAGTGTTCACTACCATGACATCTAGTCCCTAAATACCCCCCCCCCCCCCCCACCCCCGCCCAACCCCCCCCCACCCCCCACCCCCCCCCCCCCCCCACCCACCCCTCCCCACCCCCCCCACCCCCCCCCCCCCCCCCCAACCCCCCCACCCCCCCCTAAACCGAAAACCCAAAACCCAAAACCCCTAAACCCCTAACCCCCCCCCTAAACCCTAAACCCTAAACCCCAAACCCTAAACCCTAAACCCTCAACCCTCAACCCAAACCCCAACCACAGCACCCCACAAAAAACCCAAACCACAGCGGGCGGGCCTAAAACCTAAACCCTAAGCCCTAAGCCCTAGCCCTAAGCCCTAACCCTAAACCCTAAACCCAAACCCTTAGCCACACAGCAGGGAAAGAATTTAGGGGGGGGGGGGGGCAGGGGGGCAGGGGAAGGGGCAGACCAGGGGGGGGTGGGGGGGGCAGCGATGCTGCACCATATATGCGGTATAAAATAAGGGGGTTAATTCAGAGCGCGTTCAGGAACCGTGTAACTACCCTAAGAATCCACCGATCCACCAATGTCTACCACGTACCTCTTTACTTTAGTGTTGAGGTGGTGGAGAGATGCAAAGGGGGAAGGCCTTGACGGAATGGTCTCATGTTGTTCTCCGCACTGGCCTTGCAGACCAGCTACCCGTACATGCAGGGCAAGGGAAGCAGCCAGCGCCTCAGCCCGGCAGACCCTGGAAGAAGCTGTCTTGGAATGCCTTATAAACCCAAAACCCTAAGCCCTAAGCCCTAAGCCCCAAGCCCTAAACCCTAAACCCTAAACCCTAAACCCTAACCCTAAACCCGAAAGGGTGGCCTGAGGCGTGGCTCCAGCGCGGGAGCCGCCCAGACGCTGTGTCGCCTTTGTCGTCGGAGGCTGCACCTATGAGGAGGCCCACCTCAGACGACTCATACCAAGCAGGGGGTTACAAGGGGAAGCAGATTACGGCGGATCCACCTCATGAGTGTTTAAGATTGATTGTGAGGGGCGGCGGGAGTTGCCACTAGCTTCATGAACATGACCTCTGCGCGACGCAAGAGGGTCTGCGAATCAGCTCCCAGTCGTGCCACGCGCGCATGGGGGTCGTGGTTTTTCGGAAGCGGGTAAGTCGTCGCGTGCTTGTAGAAGCAGTGTGGCAGTCATCAGCAGCGACCCTTGGGCAGACAGGTGCAACTGAAGCAAACCATCGCGAGCTCAGTCGGAAACAAACCGGACATGACAGGAGTTTGATGACTCATGGTGATTCTGATGTGTGATATTCACAAAGGCACGGGAAACTCCACCGAAACCCATGCTAGGGGATGGGTCGCCCAGAGTCTAAAGAAGCGGGTGGCTGGCGATGTCCATGGTTCGTGGCGTTTGGCTGAGCCACACTACTGCTTTTTCAGAGTGCTTGTGTATGAATCTTGCATCGAACCATAGCACACTTCTCGTTTGCTTGCCCATTTTTTGTGGGCAGCTAGACGAACAGGGCGAAGCTGCTGCGAACTTGACGGGCCACACTTGCTTTTGGATTATGAGTCTATGGCGCATCCCCCTAAACCCTAAACCCCAAACCCTAAACCCTAAACCAGGCGTTTCACATGCTTGTGCGCATTGGCACCTTCGCTTTTTGTTGTGGCCTCTACCCACACGCAACGGGTTTCATGACCGAACGCAGGAACAACAAATACAACCCAAAATGAAGAACCCGGAAAAGCACCAACAAGCCGTCCCAGACCGCCAGAAAATCAGAAGAAATCATCGGGAAAGACTAAGACTCAAAAAAGGTTCAGCCCCAGAAAAAAAACAACCGAGACTCATCAACAAATGACCCAAACGAACGAACATTAATTAGAATCAACAAAAAGGGTCACCCAACTGGTTTAGCTTTGATTTTGGGCCGATTCTTGGCCGATGTTTTTTGTTGTAAAGTCTCTTAGATTCGGCAGGTCTAAGTCGACTTTTTTGGGTTGACCGGATTTATTCTGCTGATGGTTTTTGCTTCGGAATGAAGCACAAAAAAACCCATCTCGTGCGGGCTGGAGGCCATGTTCAACCTTAGCCGTTTAGGGTTTAGGGTTTAGGGTTTAGGGTTTAGGGTTTAGGGTTTAGGGTTTAGGGTTTAGGGTTTAGGGTTAGCCATCTCAATCACAAGTCACCTCATCACTTGGGGCCAGGCGAGAGACATCGCCGAATTGAACCGGACCTTGGACGGATGCAGGTGCTCTGCAGTATCCAGATGCGTGTCACGTGCTCTCTCGCCTCGTCTCCTGTCAAATCTGTCAACGCACCAGTGGTTCCGATGACTTCTTGAACTAGGAGAGGCAGATTCCAGCAAGCAAAGCTCAAGTTTTGCTCTTCGCACGCTTCAACAAGGCTCAGGCTGTCCGAAGACCGGACGGCTGGCTGGGCCCTGGGTGACTAAAGGGGTTCCCCATGCATCCTGCATTCACTTTCACTGCACATTCGCAACGAGACTACCGGGAAGGTTGCACTTATATCCGTGATACTGGCTACTGTAGTGAAAAAGGCCTTAGCAGAAGCCTCTGCACTTAGTACTTCCTGCGAGATGGTCCACCATGTGCTTGGTGCTGAGCACCAATGCCGGTGAGAATCGCATACCACGCTCTAGGCATTTATTTGATTTCTATATACATGTAATTATGTATATATATATATATTAATATTATATATATATAACATTTCTACAGGAGCAGCTTTGTTTTCCGCTTCTGGCGCAAGATTTTGAGATCTCGGGGCTCTTCCTGGGGCTCGGTCTCAGGACTCCAGGGCCTGGAACATGGTGACGCAGCGGCCTAAGTGGCAAAGTCTCACTGTCGGTGAAGAGGGAATGGGGGAATGAGGTACCGTATAGAATCCCGTCAAGGGTATATTATATATAAAAAAAATATATATATATATATATAGTGCCCGAATTCCCTCATTCCCTGCTAACCAACAGCGAGAAGAAGTCTGAGTGGCCGCACCTGGGCCCAAGTTTTTCAAAAAACTTCAGTTTTTTTGGGGGGGCCAAGGCCCTGGCTGGATGCCAGACCGGACCCGGACGATTTGCCTGCGAACGAGGCTGGCATAGGGGTTTACGAACATAGCGGGAACCCCTAATATAGACCCCCAAATAGAAGGTACCCCTACTCTCGTAACCCCCCCCCCCCTGCATATTAAGTCTTTGGAGTATTTTTAAACTGTGGTCAGGTCCAAGGAGTGTGCATTCTGACGGATCCTTCTCGCATGTTGGAGATGTGACAGAAATTCCCCTCGGCTCCACGCCTCGTCCTTCTGAATGTCTCTAAGAATAATTCAACATACCCGAAACCCGTATCCCTCAACCTATAAAAGGAGAATATTAGGAAGATTTAACCATACCCGCTTGATTCCTTTTGGGGGTGTGCCCATGGGATATGTTGAATATTTCTTGGAATGTCGCTCTTTCTTTTCATCAGGTGAGCTTGACGGCGGCCATTGATGTGCGCTGTTTGGATGAGTACTGCCAGCACGCAGCGGACCTATTCGCAGCACCTTCCCTTGCTCCAATGATGTGTGTTGGCGTTCTGTTGTGCACGGTCTCGAAACAAGTCCTCAGTTTTCTGGTTCCTCGAAGGTCGCATTTCTCTTCACCTGGTTCACAGACACCGGCGCATTGCTGAGGGCAAGGGATTTGCTTTGGGGTCTTGACGCGTCTCTGTTATAACGTTTTCTATACACTGCGATCTCCAAGATCTCCACGGTCCCCCGCTAGCACCCGACTCCGTTTGGGCTGTCTTGGCTCTCTGTTAGAGGGCGAAAGAGCCTTAGGGAGCGCCAGAACTGATCCGAAGCCCCACGTGCTTTGAGTGCCAGCAGTGCTATGGCTCCCAAGACAGCAGGCCGCAGCTTGCTCTCCCACGGGGCCATCGTGGCCTTGAGTGTGACAGCCCTCATGTTTGCTCAGAGGTGCTTTTTGAGTTCTGCACCCGTACCGCCGACAAAATCTGACGTGCATGTCCAACCTGCTGTCGATCACGCCGCTGCCCTGCCCTTGATGGAGGCCGACTTTGCAGCTGGCCCGCTGTTTGCTGGCTCGGAGGCCCTTGCGCTTGAGGGTGCCGACCGTGATGTCAAAGTCGCCATGTACAACAAGAAGCGCACCAAACGGGACCGGAGCGAGGGATGGACGTTCCGCAAGAAATTCCGCTCTTGTTCCTTACTGGCCCGTGCTGCCACCGTGAAAGGTCGAAAGATCCTAAAGAAGCGCATGTGGCGTGGCAAGAAGGTTCTCGCGCCAGGTGACTATTGCAACTACAAGATGCAGCGCGTGAAGAACTTGAGGTAGTTATGTTTAAGTTATACAGGTCGTTCATCTCGAGTTTTGTTTCCGAAGCCCAGAAGCCCTCGCAGTTCCGCCTGTTTGAGAAGGCAAGACCTGATTACCACACAAGTTTGGACAAGGAGACGGTCTCAAGCAGGGCAGCTGGCATTAAAAAAGATAGTCCGCAGCTTCCAGTTGCAGAGGATGCTTGCTTTCTGCAACATGCCTGGTGCCGATGATTCATTATTTGCTAAGGTGAGTTGGCACAGAGCATCAGCACTGGGCCCGTGTCCAGCGAGAGCTGGCAACAGGCTTCGCTTCGCGAGCATTCTGCAGAAACTGCTGGTTCCCTAAACCCTAAACCCTAAACCCTAAACCCTAAACCCTAAACCCCTAAACCCTAAACCCTAAACCCTCAACCTACATGCAACCACCCCAACCACCCCAAGTGCACTTCGCGGGGCCCTCTGCCATTGTATCACAAAATGTCAATGCAAATCCATCGTTGCGGAGTCCGACTGGTACTAACAATGGGGGCGCCGCATGTTTTCAGAGGGGGAGCCAGTAGACTGAGAAGACTCAGCAGACCGTCCTCTGAGTTTTCATATTCCCTGCCCACTGCGAACCTTCTGCGAACCTTCGGCCTGGGGGGGTGATCAGATGATGTCGCTAGGCTGGTGAACCTGAGCCTGTGGAGACATCTGAGGCCTTTTGGAGCCTGTGAAACGTGCTTGCGACATCTGAAGAGAAATCTTACGCGCACAGGATGCCGCGCCGGCAGATGCCGCGCCTGCAGACGCTGAAGGTCAGGGCCCACCTCAAGAGCCAGAGGAGGCTGAGGAGAACGTCAAACACGCACATTTTTTGGTCAAAGTTCTGCTTGAACCTCGTAAGAGTCGTAAGACCCCCGCTCATCCTCAAGGAGAAGCGTCAAGCATACATCGAATCACGGCGCTTTGAAAGCCTCTCGCCAACGATGAGGACGGGCTTGCTTCATACCGAAGCATCCGACAGAAGTGCGGCGTGAGTGCTTGTTCACGGCTTGCTTTGCAGTCTAGGTAGGTCGGGATATCATGTTGTCGTGAAAGTTGCGCCCACGCCCTGCTTCAGTTCTACATGTGCCTTCGTTCGAGCTCTTGCTGTCGGGGAGCTCAGTGCACAGTTGAGAAGGAGGTTCAGGTCGGTGCAGGCACATGATTTACTTGCCTTTTTATATCAATACAAAAGCACTTTCAACGCCATCGTCCCGCAGTCCGATAGATATCTCCTGGCACATGTGAGGTCCAGGCTCTTCGCATTCAGGCCCCGCCGATGATGCAATTGCTGGATGCTGTTGTTCAGCAGCTGTAGGGCTTCCAGCCATCATCTGCTGTTTCTGCAGAGCTCATTATCTGTATACACATCGATTGGGCTGTCAGCTGTCCCTCATAGAAAAGCTTGGTGGCGCAGCTACATTCGACACAGTCGCACGTTCAAGATGTTTCTTGTCGTCTCAGGGTTTGAATTATTCGAATGCCTGAATGCAACTATTCGCGTGGCTCCCCAAGCCTCCCCGGGATTCTGGGGATCAGGGGTTTAGGTGGAGTATGTTTTCTTATTTGGTGGTTGACGAGAGCTTGGTATACTGTCTGGCGTCGCTTCTGTGTGGGACTGCACGGCGTGCTGCCAGAGGCCTTCGTTCCAGATCCCGAGGCACCATTGCCCGAGCCAGGCAAGACTACCCAGCCCACTCTTGCTAAACGTATGTTACTCCCAGCATGCTTGCGACTCAACTCATGCTTTGCAGGCTCTTTGGCAGACATTGGTTCCCCTCCGACCTCGGCGTCTGGCAAGAAGAAGCCGGATCCCAAGAAGGACTTCATTTGACTTCATGTTTGGGCTCATGGCTGCCACACGGCAACTCTTGAGTTTGTCGTCAGTTTGGGCGAAGTCTTGGATTTCTTACCCGCAGGATCCGAAGAAGAAGAAGGACCAGAAAGAGGCACAGACAGTCACCATCAGTCACCCAAAATCACCCAAAGCAGCTCAGCGGCAGCAGTGCCTTGCCTACAGTGCTGCAGGTGGCGGCGAAGGACCCTGCACCGTCCGAGGGCCTTCTCAGCTTTGGGGACATGCTCGCATGATGTGGTTCTTCACAAGGATCCGGCCGAATCTTCCGATGGCACCCCAGCGGGGTTTGCACGAGCCTCTGGCTGCGAGCGGCATGTGGGACTTATGGTGGTTAGGGTTTAGGGTTTGGGGTTTAGGGTTTCGGGTTTAGGGTTTAGGGTTAAGGTCAAGCTGGATTTTGTCATTCCGTTGGCTCCGCTGATCGTGCAGAAGTGCATCCAGCAAGCAGGCTCAATGCAGTTCATCAGCGTGTGCTGTAGCAAGTTCTATAGCAGTCGAGTGCAGGCCGTGCCCAGAAACAAACGATCCTTCTGACTAGGTCCCCACCTCTCTTCGCTTTAGTTAATTTAGGGGAATGATGTTCCATTTCTCTACAACCCAAAGGAATTGGATTAAGTTTTTCTAAGGGGAGCATAGGCCATTGCTTGGAGGTCCGATCGTCTCTGAGGACTTGCTTGTGGCCTGCCCGGATTCGGCATTCAATCTTCCCAATGCTTCGCCAGCAGATCAGCTGATGATTCCCTAAACCCTAAACCCTAAACCCTGAAGCTTGCAGTGTGGCGTGGTGTGGCCTGGCCTCCCCTCCCCCCTCAGCGCCCCCGAGGTAGAAGTGCCATGCCCACAGATCAAGGGCTTGCAGGCCACGATACCCCGACGCTTAGAAGAACTTGCCTTTGTGCAGAGCTTAGGCATGTCTTGAAAGAAATGAGTAGAATTGGCCTAGAGGGCCTCGATATTTGAAGAAATTTCGAGTGGCTTGTGAGCAGGTGAGTGTGCGCTGCAGCGGTGCCGCGCCTTACTTCAGTGTCTTCATTCGATCGTGGCATCGCTCCAGTCGCTGCATGGCTCTTCCTTGTCTTGTTTCTTCGGAGCCCAGCTATACAGTACTACCCCGCCTAGGTTCCCCCCATATTTGAGGTTATTATACTTAAGGCTATTATAATTAAGGTTCTTATGAGCATGGTTACTTTAATTAAGGTTTCTTTAGGGGGGGGGGGCAGCCTTTTTGAGCCTCCCATTGTCAAGTCCGAGGGCCGCTTCTCACGGCGGAGGTCAGACAGCCGGAAGCTCAAGTGTGATGACAGGACTAAGAGGATCCTTATGGCTTTCTTTTGGCGCTTGAGAGTATAGGACTCCACAAGTATCTTGGTGAGACTCCAACAGCCTTGAAAATGCCGGTTCGCTGGAAGGATCCGTGTTTAGCTGTGTTTTGTCCCACGGTTTCCCCGCCTTGAAAGGCATCTGAACCCACTTCTGCTGACCTTGGGTGGTGCCCATGCACTTCCGAAGGCAGGGGACTCGGAACTTTCCTGTGTGGAACCCATGTTACGCAAGCGTACGAACATGCATGCGGCGCCTTGCTTGGTAAGTAGGGAAGGACGCCACGGTTACAGATCGACCAAAACCACATGAAGCAATCAACACCCAGCAAATGTCCCGAAATGAATGCGCATTGCATCAGTCAAAACTTCGCTGAGGATCCGCATCGTGGGCAGCAGGAGCTAGTGTATGCTGCCGCGGCCTTGAACAAACACACAGCTGCCGGAGAGCGACAAAGAGATTCGATTATTACTCGCACGCCTGCCGGTGGTGGCATCTTGTCCTGCTCTTCTACTATATGCTTAAGAACCCTTAGAAAACCAAAATACTGATCCCTGTATTGCCCTTAAAGAAAGAATATGTGTTTTGTTTTTTGGGGGTTCTTCAGCAATGAGTGGTCTTTCAACCTCCCCCGAGGTGGTGGAGGCTTTCGGCGAACGCCACCGGCCAAGCGGAGCTTTGAATCGTACCATAATGCGCCATGTGCGGGCATAGTGGCAAACGCAGAGAAACCTAGACAACATGCAAGTGCCGCACATCATGGTGCACAGGAGACTTTTAAGATTGGACTTCGCAAGACCTATCGAGAGAATCCAGAGCAGGTAGGTTTGGTTTCAGAAGGACTTTGAGATCTCGTGCGTGTCAGAGCTGCATGGCTAGCTGAAGTTTACACCTACAGATGAAGCTGCAGACATGTTCCGTCACAGCTCGATTGTGCTCATCGCATCTCTTGGCGACATGCGGCGACTTACGGCCCTGGACTCAGGTCGACGAACACTGGCAAAGAAGATGGACAAGATCGGGAACGTGCAATTCAAGGCACTTGGCCACATGTGGCCACATGTCCTGCCATCTTCTGATTCAGCACGCGGCATCGCACGACCGGCCTCGCGCAAGAGCAAATTGATCAGAGCCCTGCTTCAGGCCCATCTGGTCTACTTTCTGGGCACATGGCCTCAACATGAGACGCGCGAGCACTTGCAGCTGGCCAAGGTTGGTGTCGAGGCACCATGTACTTGTGTAGCCACGCCACGGATGACACTAATATGGGGGGTTTACGATATCAGGGGTACCTTATTATAAGGGGATCCTAGTATTTGGGGTCTATATTAGGGGTCCCTTATTTTCGTAGACCCCCAGGTTGCCTTCAGATTGCTTCACTTCCTTCTTGCTTCTTGCTTCTTCACGGTTTCGCAGTTTTACCCCTGGAGTCCTGCTTTGGATTTGTTTGGTACGATTTTGTACGCCCAAGCTTGGGGGTTGGTCTTGGCGCAGGTGCATGATCGTGACAAGGTGCCGAGCAGCTTCCTGATTACTCATTATCCACGATGATGGCGGAATGACTGTACCGCCTGCAATGTCCGTCTGTGCCATGCCTGTCACCGACGCAAGTACTTGCTGGGTCGACACAGGTTTGGTGATTTTTCGTGGCTAAGATGTGCTTGCCATCTTGGCCAGGGCGTGCACAGCGAACCCAAAATCGTGGAGGCCAAGTATGACCATGCTGCCTTGTGGGGAGTGCTCTGCAAGCCATGAAGCAATAGATTCAGGTCCAGCATGAAAACCCTTTCGAATCCGTTGTGTCGTTGATGCATCGCGCTAGGAGCCACCAGCAGAGGAGCCGCCACCGAAAAAGGGTGGCAAGGCGCGGACATGCCACCAGTAGCCGTGCCAGGCCATGGGGCCAATGATTGTCAGGATCTCCGTGCGTTCCTCTACTGTATCTATCCTGCCTGTGATGCATGGCCACGCATTATTCTGCAGAAGAACGGTCGTGTAGTAGAATGTACATACGTAACACCAGCAATCACCAGCATGCCAGCAGCGCCGCAGGGTCCAGTTGTGATGAGACACAAACCATCTGTGACTGCAAGGCCCCTCCGACACCGGAGAAACTACCTCCGCAAGTTGTCCCACCAGGCGGGAGGGCTATAGGCGATTCTTTTGAATGTTGAAGAATCTTGAAGCGCAGCTTCACCACTTGCACAGAATCACTACGTAGAGTGGGCTGGGACGAAGACTTCTGACATGTTTAGGGTACCGGGTTCAGAGCTCTTTATCGCTACCGCCAGTGTCTAGCCCGTTTTTGGAGCCGTGAGCTTCGGGGTCCCTCAGGGGTCCCTCAGCTCAGAGCGAGATCTCGTGCGCATGTACAGTGTACAAGTCACAGGGTTGCAGCCCTGCTCCAGCCCACAGATCCACCGGAACCTTAGAGAGCATCCGGGTCGAAAAGGAGTTTCGAGTTTTGGTTTCTGATTGCCAGCCTCATGGCCGAGCAGTTGCAGCCACAGCACCCGGCTACTGATTCAGGCTGGGAGGCTTCCGTGGATGTGAGAGAAGTGGCCGAGCGCCCTTGATGCAAACAAGGCCTTGCGAATGTGACAGCTTATCGGGTAGACAAGGTCAGGTAGAGATGGTAGAGCATCCTCTTCAAGATGAGGGTTTGCGAAAACAAGGGACCCCGACTGGAGCCCCCTAAAATAGTAGGATTCCCTTATCATGAGAACCCCAAAGAGGTACCCCTAATTTCGGAAAACCCCCCTCATCTTCTGCATAACGCATCTGGCGGTCAGAGCCTGAGGGCCTGGTGTGGCGTCGCCTGCGTGAACCTGGCTGAGCTCTTGAATCCCAGGCTCCCGGCTGAGACATGTTTAGGGTTTAGGGTTTACGAACATGAGGGGCCTCTAGATTAGGTCCTCAAATAGTAGGATTCCTATATAAATAGGGACCCCAATAAGGTACCCCCCCCCTAATTTCGGACACCCCCACATTGAACGACCTGTCTAGATGAAATGGTCACCAGCCGTGACACATGGAACTCCAGGCAGAAGGTTGTGCCAGTCTTTTTGGTCAGTTTGAACTTTGAACTTTGAACAATCTCCCCAATAAAATTGGTACGACCCGCCGGTGCTGGAAACCCTAGCTCGAGCTGTGTGCGCGTGTCTTGACACTGTCTTTGTGGGTACCACTCCTGGACACGCTGTAGAAAAAAGGCATTGGTGGGAGTCTCCCGCAGTCTCCAGCCTGCTTCGGTTTTCAGGGGTTGTTTTCTTCTGGTGTGTAGGCAAAGTGGCTCGATTTTTGGCGTGAATGTTTGGGCACCCTGCCCTTGTCTATACACAGGTGTGTTCTCCCCCAGTGCCCTCCGAAAGACCTAGGGTCGGCGGACTTGCTCTTGTCATCTGATCCACAGCTCGTTTTTTTTTGCATTCGTCTAGTGCCCGGTGCCTGCTGATGGGGTGGCGCCAAGGGACTGCTCAGGTTGACGCATCCGCTGCCACTTCGTGCTGATGTCGAGCCAGAACGTGCGAGCCTCACAACCAGCCAAATGGGATGAAACAGGTATGAGATGGGGTAAGTAAGATTTGAGACTTCTGAACCTGCTGTAGCTAGCGTCCTGTATGGACAAGGTCGAAAGCAGCGAGCTTTGAGCGGTGGACGCGGGCTTCAGGCATCGCCTGGTTGCGGTACTTGTAGTGCCCAGTGGAAGCGTTCGGCATTTCGTCGAACGACGGGGCGCCAAGACACGCGGTGGAAGTGGCAAGCCGTACATGGGCTCAAGACGTTTAGGCTCACTTCTACAGGTGCCCTAGGCCTAGGCCTAGTTGAAGCAGATTGCGCAGAGTAGCAGATTAAGCCGACAACAAGTATTGCTTGGCAAACATGGCAGAGTAGGTGGCCCACGCGAGCTGGACACAGGATATGATTCAGGTTCAGGTTGTGTTGTTTGCATGATGCCTACGCCGCCTTAAATCTTAGAAATCTTGGTTGTTCTTGCATTTGCTTTTTCATTTTTGCTTTTCTTGTTTTCTCATTTTCATTTGGCATACTGTTCCAAGCATATCAAAAGTGCACCTGGCGAATGAAACTAAACGGGTGATTCGACGACGAGAACAGAGAAGGTGGGAAAAATACGGTTAACTCAACTCATATTCTAAATGAGTGCATCTTTCACTTGTAGTATCCGGCGTTTGCGGGGCTCTTGGTGATTGAGATGGACACATTATTATTAATAATCTTTAATACGAAGTTGTACATCATCAGCCTCATGTTCCCTCATAGGGCCTACCGCTGGGGCCGAGGGGGGGGGGTTGTGCTGCAGAAGTGGACACTGCCATGTTGCTGGGTGGGTTGAGCTTTAGTTTATGATGAAGAAGTTGATGCTTCCAGGTCTCCAACGTCATGAAAGGAGATGCAACCGCACGCGAGCCGGGGCCGAAGATCGTTTGAAGATATCCATGTGGGTGCCCAGTTTTAGGGCGAGCGGTCAACAGGTATGCGCAGGTCTGTGAGCGCAACTGAGTGCGTCAGACTCCTCATGTTTCTCTCTGAGGCTGATTATGTCAACAGAAAAGCCGGTTTCCGAGCCGATGCCAGCGCCCCAAGTGAGTCTCCACAACGCTTTGCTCTGGTCTTCAAGTGGTCTTCAGGATGCTGCAAGTACTGGGTATTGCGGTAAGCAGCGGCAGCTTCTTTGCCACTCCACCTAGGCCAGACTACCACGGTAAGCACACCTGGGTTCGGCTAACGGCACGGCGCCCGAGATCAGCAATGTGTCGAGACACCAAAACTGGTGCCTGCCGGTTTTTTTTTCCCCTTCCTCAAGGGCTTGCTAATGCATGCCAGCTTTCTATCGTGTTTTCGATGGCCCATGTTGGAGTTGGACTCTTTTCAGCTTGGAGCACTTCGCTTCTCAGGGGGTCACACAGCATGATGCAGCACGCAGACCTAGGCGGCCCTAGCCGAGCCATTGCCGCCATTGGCGGCTCCTGCGAAGACCGTGGACACCGCGGATCCGGAAGAGGACGCCGCATGAGATCATTGTATGTAACGCTATGCGATCGGGGGAGGGCACAGGTGGGGGGCGCGCGGCGGGGGTGGAGAGAAAGGGGCTCATAATTAAAGGTCGATCACGGAGTCAGCTCTGACCCAACGGATCAACAAAGTCCATAGGCAGTGGGCAAGGGAGTAAGTGGTGAGAAGTGGCTAAATACCCTTTTTTCGGGGGGGAAGAGGTGCACAAGGTGGTCGACCAAAGTGCCCCCCAGGATCAGCTACCAGAGGTGGGGTTGGGTGGCTGGAGGAGGTGGGGAAGTGGATTCACAAGGTCGTTCCTGACCCCCAATGACGAGTGGGGTGACTTTGCAACATGTGCATCACCAGCCTCACGTGTGGTACCTTGATGTGGCGGGCGTGGTGCTCCACGGACTTGACCGATGTGAGGGGGATGGGGTGGGGGAGGGGGGGGAGAAGGAGCAACCGATTCTTTGGCTTGGCTATGCGTAGAAGGGTGTAAGGTCGATCAGGAGTCAATTCAGACAATTCTGACCCAGCGGATCATCTGGGGAGTGGGCCTAGAGGTCTAGCCGGTGAGATCAAACCCTAGGTGGTGTGTACTCGTACCTGAGATGCTCTTTTAATTGGCGACTGCACGTGATAGCGGACACTTCAGATCGCTTCAGGCGTCGGGAAAAGATCCGGAGCCTGCAGACGAGAAACTCGAGGGGGCGGCTGAGGGCCAGGAGGAGTGAGCCGAGTATGGTCGAGCTTTCGACGTGTCGTTCCTGGGATTGGCCTTGGATGCCTGCAGCTCAAGTTGTTGTTTATGTATGGTTGGCTCCTGGTCAGGAGGAGCCACTCCCTCCACGATATGAAAGGCGAGGCTCAGTGGCAATCGCATGCACAGCATGCTCATCATGCCACTTCAGTCACTTCAGCTGATTTGTGATAATCCGTGTTGCACAGCTTTCGCTCAAGTTGGCCAGGTACACTCGGTTGGTCGTCAAGATAGACTATCGAAAGACCCGATCTTGAAGTTCTTTGTGCGTCAAGTATAGTTAGTCTTCTGTGCTCTCTTTTCCGGGGACAACAGGCTGTTGAAGTGTTTTACCGAATGCAATCGTATCTGCATTGATCGTTCGGCAAAAGATCATGACAGACATCTATTGTGCCGGATCCCAGCCCCAGGACGACCGTGCTGAAGATGCTTCTCCAAGCAGTTCGCGACTCAGGACAAGGGTATGGCGTGTGTCAATGAGGCCTATATGCTACAGGTCTGGGAGTGTACTGAGGTGGGTAAAAGACAAAGAGAGATATGGAAATATAGAGAGAGACAGAGAAAAAGCAAGACAGAAAGAGAGTAACAGAGAGAGAGAGAGAGAGAGATGCAAGCCTTGCATTCATTTAGCAGCTGTGGAATGGACAATATCTTCAGGGGCGAGTTGCCTCGCTGCCTCAGAGGTGTGTGACAACAATGTCCGCGCGTTGGACCTGGATCCTGGGAGCAGCACTCAGTGCGACTTTGGGACAAACGTTGATGGACATTATGGGTATTTCCGAAAATAGGGGTACCTCGGTACCCCCCCCTTTCTAACGAAAATAGAATAGAATCCCTTTAAAAGGGGACCCCCAAAACGGGTACCCCTATTTTTCGGAAACCCCCATGGGTATGCAGCAGTTGAGCTTTGCAGTGCAAGGCAAGCGCGCACGCTTGCCAGTGTGAAGCTCACAGATGAGCAGCGGAGCCGACGCCTATTGACGCTGTGTTTGATGTCGCAGGCCGCACAAGTTCTCATCATTTATATGGGGGGTTTACGAAAATGGGGGACCCCCAATATAGTCCCCAAGTAGTAGGGTTCCCTTATAATAAGGACCCCAATAAGGTACCTAATTTCGGAAACCCCCGTAGAACTCGAACATGAGCAGCAGATGCCAGTTGCTGCCAGGAAGAGTCAGGATTTGGACATCATCACAGGCAAGGACACTTATATGGAACTAAGGTAAGCATGAGTTCCCACAGGGTCTTGTGTCAAAACAGGGACGAGACCGATTTCTGAGAGGCCAAAACCCGACTTGCAAATGATCCATGAGAGCAAAGCAAAGACCCAAGTGACCTAAGTCAAAGCATCAAAGCGCACCAAAGCATGGCTAGTCCGCAAACGCCCTTGAATTCCAAGCCTTTCAAGAGCTCTTAAGACCTGATCCGCAGAATTTTTTTTGAAGTATCTGAAGATGGCCTTGTTGAGCTACCTTGCGCTTATGACCTTCGTCACTTTCCCGATTCACATCTAAGCACACCATGCCTTCCCATGTTTAACGTTTAGCAGAGCTTGAGCTTTCTATGTGCCAGTGCTTTCTGTGCGTCAGCAGAAGGCTTCATAGTCATGGATCGCCGCTGCCGGCTCGTTGTCGCCGTAGCCCCAGCGCTGAGGACGTTCTCGCTGCCAGCGACCGAAAACATATTCCCATCAACTACCGCCATGGCTCATGCAACCGCACCCTTTGCAGGCTGCGGCATCGGTTGGTGCCAGCATCAGTAGTCAGTAGTCGCAATCATGATCCACATCTGATGTGGGGGCTCCATACACAATGGCAAACCATGCGCCCTGGGGCCCCATTGGCAGATGCTGAAGGGCAAGATACGACAAGGGCTGCTCCAAAGCATCTTCCAAGGTTGCTTGTTGCTTGTATGCAACGCGGATAACCCGGTGGAGGGGAAGGGCGGGGGGGGGGGGGGGGGGTGGGAGAGGGGCACCCAATTGCTCGGGTGCTGTCTCTGTGTCTTTGCTGCGGTCCTTCTGACTTGATGGCCAGATGCATCACAGCCCCTCGAGTCTGCCATGTACAACAATGTTCTCAAGATTTCGGAGCCTTTTCCCTTTGCTGAGCTGCGTCGCACTTGGCTTGAGGTAGAATGCCTCCGCGAGAGCGAAGCCTTGAGCAAGCTGTTGGAGGCAGATGGTTACCGATGCAACGTTGCCTTGCTGCTGCATGAGGGTGTCTGATGCGCCATAGAACTCATTCTGTCAAGGTTCTTCCCGAAGAACGCACACCGAAACTGATGGCGGGAGCCGGAGCAGCAACGGTATGTGTGTGTGAGAGAGAGTTGCAATGTCAAGACAAACTAATTAAGTTGAATGTTTGCAGGTCCTGTTTAACCCCCAACTTGGGTTCAGCCAGCGGCTTTACACCGACTTCAACCTCGTCCTGAAGCAGGCAATCGTCCGGGATTGGCAAGCTTGAGACACAGTCAGCCCTGTGATGCGCAGTGGTCCATCTTCCAGGTGAAGCTGCGTCAGCCGACGCTGGAAGGCCTCACGACGCGGCCAGCGCTATGCCTGGCTGGGCGCCATCCGGGCTTGTTTGACCTGAGTCAAGCTCGGTTATTGCTGACTGCTAGCAAGTGCTTGCAGCTTCCGTGTCAAGCCGCTGTCTGCCATGCTTTCCCACGTCTACCAAGCTCTCCAGACGCCCAGATCCAGGTGATGCCGCCGTCAGCCGTGGCTTGAATCAGCTGATGGAGATCAAGAGAGCAGCCCGATCCTTTCAAAGTGCATTCCAAGCGCACTTGTGACGATGTGTGCCAATCTTTCTGGAACATTGGCCTGGGAAACGGAAGTGGTTTGATCAGTCAGGATCGGATCCACGTCTTGAAGCTGATGGACTCATTCCCCACGTTGAAGATCATCGAGGAAATCGAGACACAGTGAGCCCTGGCAGTTTGAATTCTTTTCAGAAGCTCTGGTTTCACGTACATAGACCTTGAAACGAGATCCTGCATGTGCAGCTGCCTGGCTTCAAGTCTTCATGCCAGGTACGGCGACTTCGTTCATGAAAAGGAGCTGCATGGTGGCTGTGCCGACGAAACGAGGCAAAGACGCAAAAACGACGCAGATGCAAAGAAATGTCTGTCGATTGACCTGCCCGGAGCGGCTTCAAGACAGGTCCGCGCACTCCAAGATGACCGGGCGGACGTCGTACACCGAGCTTCTGCTAACTGGCACAGAAATGCACACAAAAACATCAGCAGTGAAGTTCACGAACTGAAATCAACGGGAAGCAGGGCAAGTGTGCCACGGCATGTGCACGTAACTTGCGCTGAGGGGCCGTTCCAGCAACCGCTCGGGCGGCTCGGGCGGAAGGCATTCCGGAGGGCAGTCCGGAGGCGGTACGGCGGCCGCTTCCTCATGTTTGGAGATGGCAGCAGATGGCAGCAGCATGTTTCCTTAGCAGCCTTCGGCCGCCTGGTTCTTAGTGGGGAATGAGGGAATTCGGGCCCTATTATATAGATATATATATATATATACCCTTTAAGGGATTGTATAGGGTACCTCCTTCCCTTATTCTAAGAACCAGTAGATGTTCCATGTGTTTTCTGGCCAAGGAAGGGGCTGATGCGGACCGTGACAGTGAGGACCAGGATGAACACGGCTCGGTGATCGAGGAGGCAGGATGGTATGCAGCATATGGGCGGTGTACGCAAATGAGGTACCCAAGATAGCCCCCCCCCAAACTTTATAGTGGGATCCCCCAAAAAGGTACCTGACATCGTGAGCCCCCATATTGAGGGTGTGTCCCACTTGTTCTTTCAGTTCCTGTCAGGCAGTTCTTGTCGTGGCAGTTCCCGGATTACCCTAAACCCTAAACCCAGGTGCACGTCCGGAACGCCAAGATAGTGCTGAAGCCCAAGCTCACCTCGACAAACGAGAGCTTCCAGAGGAGCTGCGGCAGTATCATACCGGTACTGCTATTACATACAAATATATAATTTTAACGCTACGCGACCCGCCTCGGCCCGGCCCAGCGCATCCGCGTGAGCATGGTGATTCCGCAGCGCCCAAGTCGCTGGACCCCAAGCAATAAGGGTTGGGTTTAGGGTTTAGGGTTTAGGGTTCCGGGTTTATGGTTTATGGTTTGGGGTTTAGGGTTGAGGGTTAGTTTAGGATTGAGGGCTTAGGGTTCAAGAGACGGTTCGGCTTGGATTGATCGTAGGGTTGAGCCAGGCCCCTCAGGGGCGGGTAGGGGGGATGGGGGGGAAGGGGGGCAGGGGAAGGAGAGGGGGGGGCAGGGGAGGGGGGTTGAAGGTTTGAGGCTTCCACTCGCGTGTAATGCATCCCCGGCCGTGCTCACACCAGTCGAGCCTCGAAAACCCGCTCACCAAAATTCTGTAGTGGCTTTGGGCGGGGAAAAGGGGAGGGGGGGGCGCAAAAAAGAGGCAGTGCGGGGGGGTAGGGGGGGGGGGTAGGGGCCCTGCTGGGAGGGGCTTCAACTGCCTCTGGTCCTGGCGAACCGTCCGCTTGCGGACCCCGGTTTCCTAGGGGGGGGGGTACCCATTTGAGGCAAAAAAAAGGGTCCGTAACAAGTAAACATATACAACTAAAATGAAGGATGCGTCAGACTACTCTTCCTTCTTCCTGCGTGAGTGCGGCAGGACACTTCAGGCCCGCAACGCGGAGCCGCCGACGGACATGATCAGCCAGACCCCCAGAAGATCCCGAAGAGAACCGAGTGAAGTGAATTAAGAAAGCATCGTAAGATGTGTGTGTGTGTGTGTGTGTAGGCAAGCCTCATGCCTAAGCCGAGAGAAGTTTCGGCCTTTCCGGCCGCAGAGTCAGAGTTTCTCGCAGGGACAAACAAGAAGGCGCTCGGAGAAATGAGCAGGCAGATGAAGGCTTGGGCTCCCAGTGTTTCTGAGTAGTAGAGTAGGTATCCTTTAACCTTTTTGGGTGAATATATTCCCCTTATAGTACCCAAGGTTAACCCTTAAACCCCCCTAGGTACTGGACAACTAAGTTTTAGACCGCGTGCAGAGTCACACAGTTCCGGGGCGTGCCAGGCGGAAGCAGGCTCCCGAAAAGTTGGCCCAAGGAAGGAGGTGGACGTGTCCTTCTTGGAGCTCCTCGCTTAATTAGGTTTTTTTGGGGAGTCTAGACTCTAAGACCCTGAGAGTCTAAGAGTTAGCTTCCCAGCATCCGTACCGAACTGAGGCCTGCGGAGCCTGTGTACATCTACTCGGGACAGGCGTCGTGGACGGCATATGGACGGCAGACATGTTTCTCAGATCGTCAACTGAGGCCAAAAACACGGCGGAGAAGCAGAAGAAGGCGATCCGAGCAAAAATGGCCGGCCAGGCGGGCCATGAGCCTGACTCTTCACAAATGCCAGGCTTCAAGAGCTTGTCTCCGAAATGTTTCGGAATCTCCCGTGGACATCCTGATATTACTGCTTCATCCCGCCGCTCGGTGCGTGCGCGCGCAGGAAGGTGAGAAGCTGTGGACGTACTCGGCAGAGCGAAACTCCGGCTGCTTCCCGCTCTTGGAGAGGGAGGTACAGCTCGACAGGCAGATCCTCTTACTATTGGCTAGTAGGGAATGAGGGAGTGAGGTACCCTATATGCCCCTATATATACCCTTTAAGGGGTTATATGGGGTACCCATATATATGTGTATATATATATATGTACATATATACCCTTTAACGGATTATATCGGGTACCTCATTCCCTCATTCCCTACAAACAACAGCAAGTCATCTTTGGCTCGCGTTGCGCCCCTCATCTCTGAGTGCCGTCATATTCGTTACAACATTGTACAAAACTTTGTACACACATTTCTCTAACTATGACTCATACATATCTATATATATGTATATGTATGTATGTATGTGTAAATTTTCTATATTTTTAAAGCATTTAGTTTTCTTTGGAATAACACGAATATAACTGAAATCACGCAACTCTGGCATGAAGGATGCTGCGTGAGGAAGTCCCACAGGACTTGCACACTCCGCATGCGCGATGTCAGAATGCTGTGGTACGAAATTCAGATGTCAGGAGGATGACCGCAAACCCTTCAAGTACCCGAGCCCTCGCGAGGCTGGCTGGGTGTAAGCCATTGAGGCGAGAATATTCGAAGCATTGCGAAGCATTGCTTCCTCCGTGCTAAGAATTAAGAATCTGCCACCACGGTCGGAGGCTGCGGACTACCGGCGCATGACAAACCAAGTCTCCGATGCCAGGAAGGTCGGAGGTTGATGGTGGCAGCATATACACGCCACTGCGTACCGTAATTGAGCACTCTTGCACGTTGCACAGAAGTGGGCTGGATACCATATATGTAGTTATATGTCTGCATCCTCAGCGGCTCGACCTGACCAGGAAGACTTGCAGGCCAAGTGGGTCGAAAATCAGCTGCATCCCGAGATGGAAAAGAAGGCTGATCAGCTGCTTCCGTGGTAGGAAAGTGTGCCTCCGACGGAGTCTGAGTAGTGCAGTGAGCTCGCCTGTTTCACGTTTCTCGTTGCAGGACATCATTCGCGGAGCTTTTGATGCACAGTCCCTGGGCATAGGCGCTCCTCTGCTTGATTCCCGAGCGCGGACACACCGTACGTACAGTTGTCTTGTTAGTGTCTTCAGTGCCGTGCACAAAGGTATTCCGGCATTCCCGAAGCCCCTGTCAAGCAACATGCATCCTGAAGGTGAGGGACTTTTGCAATCGCCTTCCTAACGCTACATACTCACATACTTACCGGTCCCGTATAGAAAGCAAAGCCCCTGCAGAGCGAGAGGGGATCCGTGCTCCAGTACTAGCCGGTTTCGATCAGTGCTGCAAAAAGACTCATGTTATGCATGTGGGTGGTTGTCAAAATTAAGCCTCTTTTGAGCCTTTCGGGGTACCCTAAATACTATGTGCCGTATTATCATAGGAATCCAAAAAGGGACCGTAATTCTGACAACCACCCCTACACATACCCACCTATAGTAAACCGCACGCGAGAACTTACACCTAAAGCGTTAGAGAATCTTACGCTTCCAGGCGGGTCTCACGTCATCGACCTCCGCCGGCCCTGCCTCTATGAAGCCACAACGCCAGCTGAACCAGAGGCCTGGGAGAGCGTTGCTGAATTTGGGTTTACGAAAATCGGGGACCCCAAAAATAGACCCCCCAAATAGTAGGGTTTAGGGTTTAGGGTTGGATTCCCTTACAATAAGGACCCCAATAAGGTACCCCCAATGTCAAGACCCCACCATGTTGGTGCTCAGTCACAATCGGCTGTGCAAACAGGCCAGCCCGCCGCCCATGAAGTACAAGGTGGTGGTTGTTGCGTCGACCGATTCTGTCACGAATGGTGAGTGGATCGGATCTAGGATTTAGTGTCTAGGGTTTGATAGTACAGAAAAACGGCAGGCCCGAAACGTGATGGGCTTGGAGAGTGCGATTGACAAGCACCACAGGCAGGGGCCCCAATGCTGGAAGACAGCAGAGCTTTAGGGATTGCTTTCTCCTCAGGAGCATCCGTGATGGAGAGCCAGAGAAGCTTGGCTTTCGATTCTCAGAGCTCGGGCCTTGGGGTTAAAGGTATGCTGATCACTTGAGTGCTGGGTGAGTGCCCTATATACCCTTGAGGCGGCGGCCTCCCAGAGCCATTCGGAAGAAGTTCGGCCACAATGAGAAAGTCACAGAGCGCCTGGAGGCAGAGCCTCGGAAAATTGTGCGCCGTCATGAGTGCCATGGAGCGTGTAACGCGCAGTTTTTTGGATTCTTCGGTCACAGAAGGAGCGCGAATTTATGGCTTTGGCCCCGCCTCGGCGCGGCGGAGTGGCCGTAAACCCCTAAACCGTCAAGCAGGGCAGAGCAACTTGTTGCTTCCAAGGATGCCGGCTGGGCGTTGGGTTGAAGGGTCCAAGGGCCCATAAGTTATAAGGGGTCTACGTGCATAAAGGTGTTTGATCCACATGGGGGGGTGGTAAGGGGTCCACATGCACCAAAAGAACCATGGTTTGGCAAGGCTTGCCTCTGAGGCGGATTTGAGAAATTTCCGAGCCAAGGCAATTCCATGCAGTGCGTGGTCAGCTTTTGAGCAACCAGCCGGGATTCAGCTAATCGGAAATGAGAAAAAGGACAAATGAGAAGGAGCTCCAAGGCTCAGAGATCGATGACAGACAATGATGGTGGTGCATCGACATTTGCCATCAACTTTTGTGAGGGCCTGTGAGGGTGGACTACGTCAACTGGCGGCCGGGCGGGGTGGGTCAGGATGTGGCACCATCGCAACTCCGACCAGGAGGAGCGCACCGGTACTGCTCCTGTGTGAAAGAAAGAGAGGAGCCAGATTGGCTTTATGAAGAGATGAGGATGAAGGAAAACACGCGCCGTGAACAAGCAAATCAAGGTTTTGGTGGCCTGAGGGTTTAGAAAGTCTTCCTCACCCCGCTCCGATGTGCAGGTGGACAATCCTCCGATTTCTTGCCAGAAGGATGAGGAGTATCGCGAGGACCGCGTTTCGCCCACCGGCGAGAGTTCCTTCCTCACTCAGTTCTTGGAGGACAAGGGGACCTGCGAGTCACTCTCGAGCTTCATGACTGCTGTGCGAAGGCCGCTTCACACTGATCATGCTGCGCATCCTTGTATATATATATATATATTTTTTCTTTTTCTTGGCTTCCTGCTGGTGCTTGCTATGTTTCGATATGTTTCGATTGTGCATCCCAGAGCACGTGCTTCTTACCGCAAGTGGACATGGACAAACGAAAGCAAGCAGATGCAATGGGTCGTCCTAGAGGGGTGCCACAGAGGCCCCTGGAGTTGCACAACAAGCGCGGCGCCCCCGGCTGCTGAAACTGTGCTCCAGCAGAGGTAAGGCGGTGAAGGCGCTCAAAAGCTCAGGTTCCGAATGGAACCACTCCCCGCACCTCAACTCCTTGCAGGGAAGATCGCAGAATGCGCTGCAGCTTCTTGTCTCCAATGCTGCATGAAACGCGAAACGAGCATGATCCACGACCCTCAAAAATTTCTGCAACATTCTGCCATGCCCGTTCTTCTGCAAATGCCAGATGTCAGGAAGAGCCAGAATCGAGTCTGGCAGGCATGCGTGGCCATCTGCAATGCATGCACTTGCTACATTTCGTCCAAAGCTGGGGCCTGCATCGGCAGGATGCCACGCGCAAGCTCCCTCGTCAGATCTCATTTGACCCTCAGGCGGGCTCTGGAATCTTCGCAGCTCCCCGACACGAAATCAATCCAACCCAAACCTGCATCAAGTCCAAGAGCCATTCCGAGTCAAGGAAGGGCTTAGGGTTTAGGGCCTTCAGGGCTTTAGGGTTTTGGGGTTTTGGGGTTTCGGGTTTTGGGGTTTTGGGGTTTTGGGGTTTTGGGGTTTTGGGGTTTTGGGGTTTTGGGGTTTTGGGGTTTTGGGGTTTTGGGGTTTTGGGGTTTTGGGGTTTTGGGGTTTTGGGGTTTTGGGGTTTTGGGGTGGGGTTTTGGGGTTTTGGGGTTTTGGGGTTTGGGGTTTTGGGTTTTTGGGGTTTTGGGGGGTTTTGGGGTTTTGGGGTTTTGGGGTTTTGGGGTTTTTGGGGTTTTGGGGGGGTTTTGGGGTTTTGGGGTTTTGGGGTTTTGGGGTTTTGGGGTTTTGGGGTTTTGGGGTTTTGGGGTTTTGGGGTTTTGGGGTTTTTGGGGTTTTGGGGTTTTGGGGTTTTGGGGTTTTGGGGTTTTGGGGTTTTGGGGTTTTGGGGTTTTGGGGTTTTGGGGTTTTGGGGTTTTGGGGTTTCGGGTTTGGGGTTCAGGGTTTAGGGTAGGTGCACATGTCTGCATGCACTGCAAAGAGTCATGGCTGGAAGGGCCCCTTGTCTGCGCGTGGACCGTCGAAGCAGGAGGCCAGGCCCTGCTTCAGCCTGGAGTTGCGCTGGAATAAGAATCCCTATTTTGCCCCAATAGGGATATTGGGGCTAAATAAGGAAGAATGTTTTTTGCTTTTTGGGTGGTTCTGAAGCAAGTGGTAGGAATGCGCTCAAGAGCCTTGCTTGAGAGAATTTGTTGTGACTCTTGGGCTTCTTTGACGCATCAATGCAACATTCACTTGCGGCAGAAGCCTGATTCACAAAGGGATCTACGTGGTCATGTTTCAGCTTTATTTCAGCTATAGACATTCATTTCTGCTCTTGGACATGGCTAGCTGAACCAGGGCGCTTCCTGGGCACAGATGCGGCAGGCACGGGTCCCCAGTATACCTCTGCTGAACTGGAACAGTGAAAGCTTCCACAGACCGAAGACGAAGGGCGAGAATGAAAGTGAGAAATGATATGGAGGTTGTTGAGATAAAGAAACTCATGTCATTTTCATGTCCCCAAATTCCTGGCCGCTACTTTGATTTATTGAGAGGTATGCTTTGACACCGCTTGGTTGATCTCCTGCACACGTTTCCTGTCACCCAGGAATGCCATGACAGTCATCAGGTCCATCTTCTTGAGAACTTCAGAGCAGGGTTTTGGGTTAAGGGTTTAGGGTTTAGGGTTTAGGGTTTAGGGTTCAGGGTTCAGGGTTCAGGGGTGCGGGTGCTTTGCTAAGAGCTGGTGGACCTCCGAGCTAGGGTAGGGAGGCCGACACTCAGTGCAATTCTGTTATATGGCGAGTTCTCAAAAACCATGGTCCCTTTTTGGGGTACCCTACATCTTAGGGGCCGCCTTATTAAAAAGAAAAAACAAAAAAGTCGCATCCCCCCAAGGGGACCCGAATTCCGAGGATCCCCCATCTTGGCATATGAACATCTGCTCAAAAAAAAAGGGGAGAAGCGACCGCTAAAGGCCATGACCTACAGCCCTAACCCCTAAACCCCTAAACCCCTAAACCCCTGAACCCCTAAACCCCTAAACCCCTAAACCCCTAAACTCCTAAACCCTAAACCCCAAACCCTAAACCCTAAACCCTAAACCCTAAACCCCTAACCCATCGAAGCTCAGGTGTCCTGGAAGCCAGACTCGGAGCTGATGCTCAATGCGCTTGTCCCAGTCCTTGAGGGCTGACACGCGCACCTTTGCGCGCTGCTGTACTTCGCCCTTGGATGTGGGTTTTAGGGTTTTAGGGTTTTAGGGTTTTAGGGTTTTAGGGTTTTAGGGTTTTAGGGTTTTAGGGTTTTAGGGTTTTAGGGTTTTAGGGTTTTTCGGGTTTTTAGGGTTTTAGGGTCTTAGGGTTTTAGGGTTTTAGGGTTTAGGGGTTTAGGGGTTTAGGGGTTTAGGGTGGGGGTTTCCGAAATTCGGGGTACCTGCTTGGGGTCCTTGTGACAAGGGGATCCTACGATTTGGGGATTTATCTTAGGGGCCATTTATGCTCGTAAGCCTCCCATGTCAAGGTAGGTTTCCAGGCATTGTAGTCGGGACGCAGCAGCCAGTGCAGAGTTCGTGCAGGATGATCGCGGTCGCGGCGGGTGGAACTCGATGCGCCAGGTGCGGCTTCTTGCTGTGCACGATGGTCACTGTAATGGGGTTTAGGGTTTGGGGTTTAGGGTTTAGGGTTTAGGGTTCAGGGTTTAAGGTTCAGGGTTTAGGGTTTAGGGTTTAGCTTCAACTCCCCTGCACTCGCTGGTCTAGGGCGTCTGCCCGTTAATTTTAACGCTACGCGACCCGCCTCGGCCCGGCCCAGCGCATCCGCGTGAGCATGGTGATTCCGCAGCGCCCAAGTCGCTGGACCCCAAGCAATAAGGGTTGGGTTGAGGGTTGAGGGTTGAGGGTTGAGGGTTCCGGGTTTATGGTTTATGGTTTGGGGTTTGGGGTTGAGGGTTAGTTTAGGGCTCAAGGTTCACGCTTTGGGGTTGAGGGTTTTTTTGGGTTTAGGGTTCGGCTTGGAGTGATCGTAGGGCCCTTAAGGTTTAAGGCGACTCGGCAGTGGGGGAGGGAGGGGGGGGGGGGGGGGGGGGCGGGGGGGGGTGGGGGGGGGGGGGGGTGGGGGGTGGGGGGGGGGGGGGGGGGTGGGGGGGTGGGGGGGGGGGGTGGGGGGGGGGGAAGGGGGGGGTGAACAACGGCGGGGGGCCCTGCTACTGCCTCTGGTCCTGGCGAACCGTCCGCTTGCGGACACCGGTTTCCCAGGCGGGGTACCATTTGAGGCCAAAAAAAGGGGTCCGAAAAAGGGCTTTGGGTGTGGGGGGAGGATTTGGAGGGGGGTGCCTGTTCTGACAACCTATACACCTCCGGCCCGAAGCCTCGGCGGATTGAGAAAAGTCCCGGCGAGCACCGCATACCCGCCCCTAAACCCAAAACCCTAAACCCTAAACCCAAATGTGTTTTCTTTGTAGGTCTCATGGGCGCCCTCAGACCTGACTGCATCGGCCAGCCACCCAGACCAAGTGAAACAAAGGTTCAAGATACTGCATCTCAGAGCATCTCCCAAATTCGAAGCATCCACAGTTCAGTTGACTGGTCCCTCAGAAAATGTGCGAGTGAATGATGGACTCCGCCTTGATTGTCAAGCAACTGATGAAGTTCAACTTAGAAGAGCAAGCCCGTTGCATCCAGTTGCCAGCATCCTGTGGAGCAGCAAAGTACAGTTATCTCCCTCTCGTCTGTCTCTTCATGGCAGCAGCGAACTGGTGATAACAAGAACGCTACTACTTGGAACCGCACTTATGCATGCTCTTGAAAGCATGATGACCCGTTGTCACTGCTTGGGCGACTGGCGTCGCTCTCTCGCAACGGTCGTTTCTGCTGGAAGTTGCTCCATTTTCTCTAGATCCCCCTTCCCCTTGATGCAAGTATGTTCGACCTTCGGCGATGGCAAGTTTGTATTGCAAGTCTTCTCAGACAACAACCACCCTGGCCCTGAAAGCAGGGTGCGCAACAGCCCTTGTCCGCCAGATGAGGCCAGGTCCGGAGGGCGACAACGCACATTGCACAAATCATTCATTAGCGGCACACAGCAGCCTTCCTGTGTATTCTTCTACCAGCCATGGTCTCTGACAGAGTGTCTTGGAAGGGCAGCCAACTTGCAAGCCCATGCTGCCTCAAGAAACGAACAGCTGTCAGATAAAGGCCACGGAATCGTAGAATCTCTCGGCGTGGCTTCGTGAGCAGGATGGCGGTGGCGATGGTGAAGGGGTGCAAGACTCAGCGCCTCTGACTCTGCGGCAGGGCCCTTACGCAAAATGTCCTGCCCATCGGACGGATGCTCCTGAACCGAGGTCGCCCAGTGTTGCCCGAGGCGGTGAGAGGGCGGCCAACCCTTGTTCGTGTCAAGTTCTGGACGTGCAGAAGCTGTGGCTTTGACCACTGCGGATACTTTTGTGATATTATGAAGAGGAGAATCGTACGATGACTTGCACAGAAGATGGCAGTCGGACAATGTTCTAAGAACTAAGCTTTCGCTTTAGACAGCAACACGCAGTGTCGTAAGACAAGAGATGAATCCATGTCAAAGAGACATGGACGCCGAAGTTTCACTATTGTACAACGAGAGATTCCCGGAACGAGCGGAGAAGAGCAGACCAGCGCCAAAAATCGCCAGTTGCACCTCGCGTATTCAAAGCCTATTCAGAGCTGTCACCATTTCAGTATCGTCCTTGGCGGGACCACGATCCACAACTCCATGACGTTCCTGACAGACGTCGCACAACTCGGGGCCTGTGGCCAAGAGGCTTAATGGCTTATAGGTGTCAAGTGTTGTAGAAGCCAGATTTGAGTGGTTTCTTCTCCCTGAGGCGCGAGGCTTCGAGTGAGTCTTTGGATGCCAGGAAGATCTGTGGGCGACCCATGGGCACAGCTTCTCACTCCTGTGAGTGCTGCTTCCAGACCCTTGAAAGACAGGCTTTCCAAGCAAGAAAATAGGGGACTCCTAAAAAGAGACTCCCAAAAATGGCCCCCCAAATAGTAGGATTCCCCGAATTTCGCAAACCCCCTAAACCCTAAACCCTAAACCCCAAACCCCAAACCCGAATTTCGGAAACCCCCCCAAAATGGCAACTGAGTTTATGCCATTGACCTCGAAAGCCGGC